GGCACCCACCGCATTCGGCGCCTCCGATCTGTTCCTGCTGTTTCCACATAGCAGCACCTCCACTGCATTTCTCACAGTTTCTCTTTACAGGGTTTTATTTTTGCTGATAAATAAACCCCGCAGAGTCACCTCTGATGCGCCAAGATGAATGGGCTCAGGAAACACCCCAAGTTCAGCACAGAATGGGGCTCAGAGCAGCCACCGCTCTGCTCCAACACGGCCAGGCGTCTCTCATCTTCAGAGAGACACCTACGAAAACTCCCAGCATGTAACAGCACCTCACCTGTCAGACGGTTTGACACTGGACCCTGAATGCAGAGCACCAGAAAAGCACGCACACTCACACTGGCGGTGAGAATCTGAGCAGTGTGCCAGCCGGGAAAGAAACGTGGCTGCGCCTGGTGAGAGCGCCTGCACTTACCATCTGAACCTACGCCTCCACCTCTTAGAACCTATCTCAGACACACCGTCAAAAACTATGAGAAATTGTGTATTCAAGGGTATGCATTACAGCCCTAGTCTTAATAACCAAAGACTGGAAACAACCCAGTTGTCTATCAACGTGGAGACCATTGAATAAACTGTGGTACATCCACAAAATAGAGACATGTGTGGCTGTAAAGAAATACAAGAAACACCACTATTTACCATAGGGTGTTTTCTCAAGATGCAGGTAAAAAAAAGAATAAAAAACTCAGTGGAGGGCTTCCCTGGTGGCGCAGTGGTTGAGAGTCCGCCTGCCGATGCAGGGGACGCGGGTTCGTGCCCCGGTCCGGGAAGATCCCACATGCCGCGGAGCGGCTGGGCCCGTGAGCCATGGCTGCTGAGCCTGCGCGTCTGGAGCCTGTGCTCCGCAACGGGAGAGGCCACAACAGTGAGAGGCCCACGTACCGCAAAAAAAAAAAAAAAAACCTCAATGGAGTGGCTTCCCTGGTGGCGCAGTGGTTGAGAGTTTGCCTGCCAATGCAGCGGACATGGGTTCGATCCCTGGTCCAGGAAGATCCCACATGCCACGGAGCAACTAAGCCCGTGCACCACAGCTACTGAGCCTGTGCTCTAGAGCTCGCAAGCCACAACTCCTGAAGCCTGCACTCCTAGAGCCCATGCTCCACAGCAAGAGAAGCCAAAGCAGTGAGAAGCCTGCTCACTGCAACTAGAGAAAACGCACGCACAGCAACAAAGACCCAACGCAGCCAAAAATAAATAAATAAAATAAATAATTTTTTTAAAAAACTCAGTGGAACTTCTAGAGATGAAAACTATAACATCTAAAATGAAAAATTCACAAGATAAGCTTAAGAGCAGTTTGGAAACTGCAAAAATATACCAGGGAGCTTGAATACATAGCTTTAGAAAGTACTCAAACCTAAGCAAGGAGAGGAGATAAAAACCGAAAAAGTCAACAGCCTCACTGACATTGGGAGAGCAGGCTGTCTAACATACACGTCAACGTACATACCCCAAAGAAGAGGCAGACGAAAAGTATTTGAAGAAATCCTGGCTGCAACATTTTAAAGTTTGATGAAACTCACAAATTGAATAAGTTCAACTGGCCTCACACAGGACAAACAAGGGAAACCACTACAGCAAACTGCCGAAAATCAGCGACTTTTTATAAAAATTCTAAAAGCAGCCAGAGAAAATAGACAGCCTACATAAAGTGAAACAAAGGTAATATAGCTATAACCGCTAACCTCTCATCAGAAACAATGCAAACTGGAAGATAATAAAACAATATTCTTTAACATGCTGGAAGAAAAAATGCCCATCAACCTAGAATTATACACTTAGTGAAAATCTTTCCAAAAAGTGAAGGCAAATTAAAAAGAGTCTCATACAAGCAATAGTTGAGAGAATTTACCACCAGCAGATTGGCAGAACAAGAAATGCTAACGGAAGTTACTGAGGCTAAAGGAATAAACACCAGCTAGAAACCAGGATATGTACACGAGAGCCAAGAGCACAGGTGTATGTACAGAAACAAAATGTATCTTTGCTCATTTTAAATTTACTTAAAATATAGTTGACTGTTTAAAGCAAAAATAACAATGGACTTGATGGCGTACCTGGAAGTGAGGGGGTAGGGAGGAGGTTTCTCCCACACCCCGATGGCAGCCCCCTCCCTTACCCTGGGAACCTGGGTCTGTGGCCTCCATCCAGGGCTGTCCATAGTTATTCACCCTCAGGGGCACGGTGAGTAGTTCTTGGGCCCAAAAAATAAGATAAAAAATTGGGATCATACCAGGAGTCCGCTCCACTTGGGAATTACCATGAATGAAGTAAAGAAAGGCCCTTGGGCGGTGGGGGGGCTCCCTGCGGCCCTGGGCGCAGCAGCAGCTTCCCCTCTTTCTCCAGGTGGCCCCACCCCGTGAGGAAACAGCGCAGAGCACCCGGCTGTGACGGCCCGTGTGGTGTGTGTGAACACTGGAGTTCTGATCTCACACAGCGCCCGGGGGCTGACATTTGAGGGGCCCTGAGAACAAGTCTCACTCTGGAGGAAAGGGATTAGCATTCGAGGGACCCCAACCAAATGCCCACCCTCAACAGTAAGTTCTCCAGATATAACCTACAAACCAGCACCAGGAGGGCCGCTCAGCAACAGGAGAGCTGTTATGAGGAACTTTCCAACACTGAGTATTTTTTGTGGGTGGGAAAGAGAACCCCGTGGGAGCCACATCCTCACCAAGAGGGCTGGGTATCGGACACAGGGCGTGACCTGGAGTCTGGAAGCTGTGTGGGCCCTAAGCTCCCACACACCAAGGCCTTTTCATAGCTCCTGGACGCACAAACAGCGGGACACCCAGCTCTGCGGGACGGCTCTCCTCCCTGCAGAACAATAGCTAGCTGCACCTGGAACAGAGTTCAAACTGGATCAAAACTCAGTCCGCGAGACTGGGAGAGGGATGTGAAGCTGCACCCTAGAGCCCCCCCCCCCGCCTCCGCACTGAAGCCTGGCTGTATCCTGGCCTCTGGATACCGTGAGATGCCCTGCCCTGGGCACCGCACCCATCGCCTTGTAGGCTCACAAAACTGGAGCTGGCCTTTGTTCCCTGCAGACTAAGAGGCCTATAGCATGCCTTCCTCCACTGCACAGAGTAGAGCACCGAGGGCAAAGCTGCGGGGTGTGCAGCAGCCCAGCCCTGAAGGTGCTCCCCAAGTGTGGCAGGAGCACAGCACACGACAGCTGAGGGCAAAGGGCTGGTAAGCCTGCTAAGGAGGATGGATCTTATGCTCAGGGCAACAGGAGTCAGCAAAGGGTTTCCAACAGGAGGGCAGGTGTGCTGAACAGGGAGCAGGCTGGAGGGGAAGGTGGAGACGGGGGTCCAGCTACATGCTATTCCAATGGCTGAAGCCAACATGGCCACAAGAAGATGCTACAGGGGAGGGTGAGTACGTGAGGGTGCAAGAGGCAGGGAAAAGTCTCCGATGCCCCTAAGTCTCTGACCCATATCCCAGGGGGGTGACCCAGAGCCACCGCTGCACTCCGCCCCGATGCCTTGCTCCTGGGAGGCCTCCATCCCTCCACCGTCTCTGCAGCAGCAAATCACTCTCCCATCTACTCAGCGAGCCCCCACCCCCTTCTCTGAAGCCCTGAGCAATTTACTGGGTCTTTAACAGCATCTACTGTTTCTATAAATGCTTAGCAATGTTTTTGATTGTGAGACAGAAGGAAAAGAGAAGTGGATGTGAATGCGAATGAGGGTGGCGCATTCTCCATCACAGAGGGCCGGCCACTGGGCATGGGAGGCTCCAATGAATCAAAGGTCCTGATTCCACGGACTCTTTAATGCAAACAGGAAGAGCACGTGCCCTTCCAGGGGCCAACTGGGCAGCTTTCAACAGCCTGGGCAGGGGGAATGAGTTCCCTCACTCCCTGGAGCCCCAGCTGGGCTCTCCCTCTAGCGGGCGGGCGGCTGGCCCTAAGGGGAGCTACTGAGAATCCGGTCCAGCCCTCAGCAGCCTCGGCTCCTGGGAGGCACTGGAGGGTGATTAAAAAAAAAAAAAAAAAACCTGTTCACATATTGAGATATAGGGAAGTCGTTCTGGCTTATATATGAATTAACTTGAATTTGATGCTAACTAAAATAGCCTGTTTGTGGCCTATCAAATATACATTGTACATCTGCTTTAATTATTAGAAAAAAAGGACACATTGACCAGAAGTAAAGAATGTCCATGTTAAAAAAAAAAGATTAAATGGCGCTCTTCCTGGGACGCCAATGCTGGTCCTCCTTTGATAAGAAGCCCTTCCCAGGCTCCAAGGCCATACTGATTCGCTGTGTACGTGCTGATCCGTTCTCTTTATTAAAACCTTGAAGAAATGTTATCTGACTTGTTTAATGTTCTTTGTTCTGACGAAATATAAAACTGTGCTGAAAATCATGCTTATCCGGAGCAGTTTCTCAGGAAAACCTGGTAAGCGGGCTTCTGGGCTAGTCCTCAGCTTGGCTCAAATAAAACTCTTTATTATTATTATAGATTGTTTATCGATTACTTTCGTTGACAAGGGCCTCGGCCCTTCATTTAGAAATGCTGTGTTTTTCTTCAAAGGCGCCCCTCTGGGGGTTCATATTTAAAGACGACGGAAATCAACACGAAAGGGTCGCTGACTTTAGTGAGTCTATTTCTTTTCTCTTCCATTTTTCACGTTGACATAACGCCAGGCTCTGAAAGGCTGAGAACAGCGCACGCCCGCGCCGCGTCTCCAGCCCGGCTCCTTCGCGTTCACACGCCGCCCCGCCGTTTGGCCCGGGGGCGAGGGTCCCTCCCGCTTCTCCGGTGGGGGCGGCGCTGGGGAGCCCTGCGCCCCGGCCCTCCCGACGCCCCCGCCCCATAGGTGCCCTGGGACCCGCCAGATTGCCAGCGCCCGGACCCCGCGGGGTACGCCGGGAGGACGGCGCAGGCGGGTGACGTTAGCGTCGCGCCACTCACGCAGGCGTGCGCGCGTGCGCGGCGGCGGCGGCGGGACTACGCTTCCCAGGGGGCCGCGCGGCGCGCCCACTTCCGGCGGGCGGCGCGGGCCCGGAAGCGGCGCACCGGCGAATCCCGCAGCGACAGGTCGGCGGCGGCGGCGGCGGGAGCATGCGGGGCGGTTGGCGGCCCGCGGCGCGCAGCGCGTTCTTTCCCCGGCGGTGGCGGCGGCGCGCGGCGGCTCTCGCGTAAGCGGCGGCGGCCGGAGCGGCCGGCAGGGCGCCGGACGGGCGGGCGGCGGGGCCCGCGGCTGCGAGGCGGGCCGGGCCGGGCGGCGGCGGCGGCGGCGCCATGTGGAGCGGCCGCAGCTCCTTCACCAGCCTGGTCGTGGGCGTGTTCGTGGTGTACGTGGTGCACACCTGCTGGGTCATGTATGGCATCGTCTACACCCGCCCGTGCGCCGGCGACGGCAACTGCATCCAGCCCTACCTGGCGCGGAGGCCCAAGCTGCAGGTGAGCGCGGGCCTTCGCACCTGACCTCTGATCTCGGGCTGGGCGGGGCCGGGCCCTTCGCACCTGAACCTGATCGGGTCTGGGCTGAGTCCTCTCCTCCCCGCCCCCGAATCCTAAAGCTCCTGACCCCGCACGCTGGCCCCCGTGCCCCTCTTCACCCCATCACATGGCGTCCAGAGTCCCTGTACCCCTGCCCCGTTCATCAGGCAGCCACACACTTTAGCAGGTTGTTCCTTTGCAGCAGGCGCGTCCCGGAACGTCCTGTCACCGGGCGGAGTTGTGTCCCTTGCGGAGTTAAGATGCACCTTTCCCTGTGTGGCTGGTCAGGTCTCTGTGTGCTTTCTGCCAGGGGCCTTGCCCAGCTGACTTTCTTGACGTCCTTTCCAGCTCAGCGTGTACACCGCCACACGGTCCAACCTGGGTGCCGAGAACAACGTGGACCTGGTCTTGAACGTGGAGGACTTTGACGTGGAGTCCAAATTTGAAAGGTATGGTTGTGGACAGGGTGACAGGCAGGCATCATTGACGTTGAGATTGTTGACAGGTCAGCGTTCTGCACGTGAGGAGGGTACCACGGAGAAGCAGCATCACCAACCGTCTCGTGCACGGTAGAGCGTTTTCATTGCAGGTGTGTGTGATACGCACACAAGCAAACTTTTTTAATTGAAAGTAGCAGACGCCGAGTTTGTCCTTTAAGAAGTAGCTTACCCAGCGTCTGGCAGCTGTGGGATACGGTGCGGCCCTGGGGAGCTTCCAGAGGAGTGGAGATTATGGTGGGGACTACGTGGGGAACAGAGCTTACACACACAGTTTCCCACAGAAAACAACTTGTGTTTTCCTGGCAGAAGTGGTTCAGTTATGTCGTCTAGAAGGGAAAGGGGAAGGGGGCGGAGGGAAGAATTTAGCAGAAAATCATAATTAAGTGAAATGTAACTTTGCAACAGAGCAAGCAATATAAACGTTGACGTCTGTAGAGTGACTTTTTGAAGCTGTATTTAAGCTATGGTTCTAGTTTCTTAAATTCCAGCAAATTTAATTTTAAAGATCATGTGTTTGTCACAAGTTCTCTTCTTCCCTCTTGGTTGTCTGGGAGGCGTCAGAGTGAGCACCGGGGTGCGTGGTGTCTTGCAGGATACACATCCTCTAGCCGCTACGGGGGCGGGGCAGGGGGCGGGGCACACACGTTTGGTGTTGGCCCCTTTAGCCTGTGACCTCAGCGCCCGGAATGCAGGCCTTTCAGCTTTTGGGCAGCTGCCGTGCTTTCAGGTGTGTTCCATAAATGTGCGCACTCAGGACTTCAGTAACATCCAGGTAGCTGGGTTTCGTTTTTAGTATTTCTCAGCTAAAATTAGTTGGTTTTGGCTTGAAACAACATTTTTTATAGAAATATTTGCATAGTCTCCATTTTGTGTGCACACACAACGTAATGTGTACGTGATTGAAATCATCATTTGTTTTGTTGCAGGACAGTCAATGTTTCTGTTCCAAAGAAAACCAGGAACAACGGGACGCTGTATGCCTACATCTTCGTCCATCACGCCGGCGTCCTGCCCTGGCACGACGGGAAGCAGGTGCACCTGGTGAGCCCGCTGACCACCTACATGGTCCCCAAACCGGAAGAGGTGAACCTGCTCACTGGGGAATCTGCCACACAGGTGAGTGGTGCCGGCTGAAGGAAACCTGCTGACCCCCTTGTAGTTCACACACGTGTCTGCACATACGGTTTGCATCTGGCGCTGGACTGACTGCTGGGAAGTGAAGCGATCAGATGTTACTGGCATGTACATTTTCAGCTCAGTAACTTCTCATGGGTTTGCAGATAAATTTATGTCGAACTAGTGACGTGCAGTTTAAGTAGTTCAGTGATTTTTGTCTTTTACTTTTTCTGGCTGTGCCGTGTGGCATGCGGGATCTTAGTTCCCCAACCAGGGGTCGAACCCGTGCCCCTTGTAGTGGAAGCGTGGAGTCTTAACCACTGGATCGCCAGGGAAGCCTGTTCGGTGACTTTCTTTACCCAGATGCCTTCTCAGGCCACGGGACCTCTCAGCCCCCAGAGAGCGTGTGTGCACCCCAATGGGTCCAGGGCAGCCCCTTCTGCAGAGCTCAGCTGCAGTCCGAACTTGGAGTTGGGAGACACTGCACTGTGTGTAGGACAGGACAACGCTTGAATATTTATTCTAAGGATATAACTCAAAATTATGAAAAAGGTGTGTGTGCAAATTGTATCTTGTACACCCATAGAAAGCTGTACGTACAGGGAAAGGCTGGAGATCGCATACGCGGTCATTACTGCAGTGGAGGGTGGGACAGAGCGATCCTGGTATTCGGGTCCGCGTTGAATGCAAGGGAAGTCATCCACGCCAGGGGCGACAGCTTTCCAGGATGTGTCTGCAGCTGTCTCGTGTGTGTCCTTGGAAAGACCCCTCAGTTCTGTTTCCCTGGGGACCGCACGACACTGCCTCATGGGCCTTTCTGGGGTGCCAGGCGGGGGTGTGAAGGGCGGAAGGAGTCTCTGGGACTTACAGGTGCTGAAAAAACGTTAGCTATCGCTACTCCTTGGGAGGCTGTTTTCAGTGTAACTGTTGGTGCTAAATTGTAGCTTTAGGGAGGAGATAAATATTAATAGAACGACACGGTTCACAGAGCTTCTCAGTTAGATCTGAAATCAAGGTTTCCTTGCCGGGCGGAGTTTGTTTCTGAGTCGGTAGCTTTAGGCTTGTTCCCTAGACACGGACATGCCCCTTTCTAGACAGCGGGGTGGAGCTGGTTTAGAAGCGTCTCCCTTCAGCCTCCTTGCAGAGGGCGGGGCTCTCAGCTCCAGCACCTCCTGCAAATGTGCCGGAGGCTCGTCTTTCTCGGAATCCCTGCTCCGGACAAGGGCCCGAAACAGGAGGCAGTGAGATCCAGGACCCCGTGGTGCGAAACAGCACACCCTTTGTCTTCTGTTGGGAGAATGAAGCGCGGGTATGAGAGTCGGGGAGCTGGCAGCCGTGGGTCCTCCCATATGCTCCGCTGGCCCTTCTTACGGTTGAGCTCTCGGCTCGTGGGCTGTTCCCAGGTGACAGTGCCAGCACCCTGCTGCCTCAGACAGCAGGGTCCCCGGTCCCCGCCCGCCCCAGCCTTGGTCTTTTCCTCTAAGTCAGTCCTTACGTGTAGCAGCAGATCGAGGCTGAGAAGAGGCCAGCGAGTGCCCTGGACGAACCCGTGTCTCACTGGAGACCAAGGCTGACCCTGAACGTGATGGTGGATGACTTCGTCTTTGACGGGGCCTCCCTGCCCGCTGATGTGCATCGGTACATGAAGATGTAAGTGTTGCTGGTCTGGCCGCTGAGCTGAGGCCCAGACGGTGGGAAGGCCACCGTAGTTCACGTTCACCTGCCCAGCTTTGCACATCGCTCGTTCACTCCCTGAGCGGACAGCAAAGGGGTGACCTGGTGGGTGGGGGGTGGAGGGATCGAGGCCGGCCAGAATCCTAAAGCAGATGGGCCGTGCCCACATTCCTGAGCCCTCTCTGTGACGAGGGGCCTGGGGTGCTTCCTGGAGCACCCCAGCCCGTCCCTCCTCCCCGGGGGTCTTGCTGATCACGGCTGCCGCCAGGATATGGAAGGGAAACGATGACACGACAGGCAGTCATCTTGCCCCTTGCTCTTGGCAGAAGCTGGAAGGGAAAATGGAGAGCCTTGGTGAGACCCTGTTCCTCTGCACCCTGCACGGGAGGTTTTGTCCTGTCTGCGTCCTGTTAGCTCTGACTCGATTACCTTTGCTTAAAAATTGATTGTTAGGTTGTTCTGTTCCCATCATTTGCTGTCGTAAGCACGGCTGTTAAAATTGACTGACTTAGATTATCCCGTGTCTCTGCACCTCAGGGAGCCCCCCCGTGAGGTCACAGCCTGTCACTGGGTCGCCACATAGCACCTAGAAATGGCTCTGCTCAGAATTGTTTCCTTCTTCAGTTTCCAGCGGGTCCTGTGGTGGTGTCATGAGGTTTTCCCTTTTGTAAAACTAAAATCTAATTTCTGAACACATGATCCATTCACACGGTTGAGTGTGAAAGGCACAGAAGGGTCATGGGGTGAAAGCCAGGCGTGGAGGGTCGATGGGTATTGGCTTCTCACCACGTCGCGGGCTGCCCCGTGTCAGCGCACACGTGGCCCCTTGCTTCCCCTCGCGTCCTGAGTGGTGTCCCACTGTGCACATGGTCCCCACCTCCTCCTGGTGGCAGCTCTGCAGGGGAAGAACGTAGCTCATGGCGCCCCTGCTGCCCTGGGGAGGCGTGTCCTGGGACTCTTGCGACCAGGAGCCACTGAAGATGCGGGGGAGTGAGCTCTGTGAGGTCACCCTGGGGGCCCGGGAGCTCGCTGCGGCCTTGAAACGGCTCCAATCCCCCAGGATCCGGCTGGGGAAGACGGTACACTACCTGCCCATCCTGTTCATCGATCAGCTCAGCAGCCGGGTCAAGGACCTCACGGTGAGTAGCCAGGGCTCCCTCGGGCCTGTGCGCAGCTCGGCCGCTCGGGCGGGCCCCCAGCTCCTGCCCAGGAGGCGCCAGCGCCCGGGGCTGTGGCCACGAGAGACGCGCAGGGCCCGGGTGGTGGGCGGGAGGTCAGGGTGCCAGGGCTTCCTGGGGGAGGCACCCTGCCGGGGCCGCGAAGACAGCTGGGGCCCCACAGGAGGAGAGGGCAGGGGAGACGTGGCCTTGGGTCCGGGCAGAGCAGCGTGCGTGGGGGCTCTGACAGCGCCCTCCCCGCAGGTCATCAACCGCTCCACCACCGAGCTGCCCCTCACCGTGTCCTACGACAAGATCTCACTGGGGCGGCTGCGCTTCTGGATCCACATGCAGGACGCCGTGTTCTCACTGCAGCAGTTCGGTGAGGCCGCTGGGCGGGCGCCCCGGGTTCGGGGGTCAGTCCAGCCCGGGAGCCCCGGAGCCCGGCTTCCATTCCGCCTGTGCGATCGTCCCCCTTGAAAGGGCACGTGTGGCCCGCGGGGCTCTTCCTGCCGATGAGGGGTAGCCCGGCCGGGGCTCTGGTGTGGGGTTGGCGTCGTCCGTCTCACGCAGGGTCTCGGTCCTTTGCAGGGTTTTCAGAGAAGGACGCTGACGAAGTGAAAGGGATTTTCGTCGACACCAACTTGTATTTCTTAGCGCTGACCTTCTTCGTGGCCGCGTTCCACGTGAGTGGTCCCGGACCTTCAGCGGGGCCTGCCCCCCACCCCGCTCGGGAGAGGGTCTGCACCTCGGGCGCTGACCAGCTGAAGGACCTGGGGCTTCGTCTGCTGCTTTTGGAAGCTGTTTTGAAAACAAATCCAAAACCAGTGAGATCGACAAATGACTTTGTAAAACAAGCGTTTCCTCGTGGGAGGTATGGTGTGGCAGTTCAGAGAGTGACGGATCAGCCCTGCCGGCAGAATCCCCCGTTAGACACCGCGGCTGGGGGCTCGGCAGGGGGCAGGGCTGAGGCCGCGAGGCACCGGCGCCAAGCCGCAGCCGGTTCCCAGGGCCTGGGAACTGGCCACCAGTGAAGCCGAATCTCGCCAGAGCTGTGCTGGGAGACACGGGTGTTACTGAAAGGCCAGCATCTCAGGTCGGGCCCGGGCTTGTCTACACAGCTTGAGGGGCTCATTGCTGTCCTGTTTTCTTTCCAGCTGCTTTTTGATTTCCTAGCGTTTAAAAATGACATCAGTTTCTGGAAGAAAAAGAAGAGCATGACCGGAATGTCCACCAAGGCAGGTAGGTGCTCTGAGAACTGCCCCCGCCCTCAGGGCCTGTCCCACCGCCGCTGACACAGGCAGGTGATAAAGCTCGTTTGGAAACCTACAGTTTGCGATCGCCCGTGGCCAGTATGGCTCCTGTTCCGGAGGGGCTTTTAGATCCCCTGTGGTAGCAGCCTGGGAGGGTGCTATGTCCGCTGTCGTGGTGAGCGCCACGGAAGCCTGGGAGCACGGAGGGCAGGCGACACGGGTGCCGGTGCTCAGCGCCCGTCTGTGTCGGTTCACAGTCCTGCTCGGCTCCCGAGCTGGGTCTCCAGCAAGAGACGGTTCTCTTCCTCCTGCGGAAGTGACACCCGAGTGGGTGCTCTGGGATGCTGGGTGGCCCCCGAGTCCAGAGTCCGTGTCTCGGGGTCTTCTGTCATGACCTCTGGCTTCCTTGGCGGGGAGGGTCCCCCGCTGAGCCCTCCTGCGCCCTCCTCTGGCCTTTTCAGCCTGTGGCACGAGCGGGGCTTGTGGGTCCCGGGGCCTGAGCTCCCGGTGGGGAGCTCCCTACTGGGAGTGTCTCCACGGCCGCGGCATCTCCTAAAGCACAACCTGAAAGGACGAAGTGCAGCCTTTAAAGGACAGATGCAGCCCCGCAGGGCCCGTGTGAAAGCAGGAGAGCCTGGGATTAGCGTGCGGGGTCCCCGTCGGGAACCAGTGTCCTTAGCACGCCTCCTGTGCCTCCTGTGTCTGTAAGTGTAGCTTACACACGTTCACCTGCTGAGGTTGCCTTCTGCTGGGGCCGTAGCCTTTTGTAATCGTTTTGCATTTCCCGTCGCCGCCTGTGGTCCGCGGTTCCTTTGTAGTGGACAAAGGGGCAGAAGCGGTCAGGGTGCTGGTGCGCGGGGGTGCCGCTCCCCGGGCCTCAGCACAGCCCGTTTCTCCCCAGTGCTCTGGCGCTGCTTCAGCACCGTGGTCATCTTCCTGTTCCTGCTGGACGAGCGGACGAGCCTGCTGGTGCTGGTTCCTGCGGGCATCGGGGCTGCCATCGAGGTGAGCTGCCCGCTGGGGCGCCGGTCTGAGCGCCGTGTCTATGGTTCCGGGGCCCAAGCGCTCGGCGCATTCGGGACCCGCGTCACTGCCAAAGAAGTGGCTGCCGGCGCGGCAGCAGGGCGAGGGTGCCGATGCCTCCACGTTTCTCGTGGCCCAGAAGCTTCAGCTTGGCCCGTCCGTCCATGGGATGTGCTAACGTGGTGGCTGAAACCCGTGCAGCTCTCGCTGCGCTGGACGCCGTGCGAAGCAGAACGTGTGATGCAGGGGCAGTGGAGGGGGCAGCAGGCCTCTGGCACCACCCTGACCGGGACCCTCAGCTGTGGTCGTATTCCAGGGCCCCTGCCAGTGGGCACTGGCTCACACGGCTGTCGGGTTGGGGGCTGCGCTGGCACCGCCCATCAAGGAAGTGCTGGCAGGACCCCCCTGTGGGCACTAGTCACCGTGCGGAACCGACCTCACGGCCATGGTGCAGGTCCCACTTTAGGGAGGGTCCTGGAGAGACCCGGCCACAGCAGGGCGTGGGGCTTGGGGTCCCCCGGGGAGCAGAAAGAAGGTGCCAGGGCGAATCTGGGGACAGGCGGAGTGGGGCATCAGTGCAGGTGGGCTGGGCGGGGGGACGGCCCGACCAGCGCCACCTCAGTGGTCCCGGGGAGGGGGTCGGGTCCATGTGGGCGCACAGGCCGGGTGGGTGTGGGCTGGAGACCGGGGGCTGGGCTGGGGCGCGAGGGCCCCGGGCGGCCGGTGCCCTGGTCAGTCACTGTCCGAGGAGCGGGTCCTGGCTTCTCCCTGGTCCTGGAGCCTGAAGTGTGGACTTTTCAACTTCTCAGCTGTGGAAAGTGAAAAAGGCCTTGAAGGTGACCGTCATCTGGAGAGGCCTGAGGCCCGCATTTCAGGTAGGGACCTAGCCGCACCCTCTCGGGGATGTGTCGCCTCCTGCGGCTTCTCCCAGCCCACCCTCTTCGTGTTTCGGCCGGTCTGCTCGTGCAGGCCGACTGCTGATGCACTTCCTAGCTGCGTCCCGGTGAGATGCAGGTCGCCGTGAGGGCCGGTGATCGTCACGTGCTCACGTTGCTGACCTTCCGACCCCAGGGGCAGCTTGTCACCTGCAGACCAGCAGGGAGATGCAGGGGCGTCTCGGGGCGAGTGGGCGGGTCACCGCACCTCTCTGCAGCTCTGCCCACGAGGCTCCGGGTCTCTCTGATGCGCCCGGGGTCCCCAGGCATTGGCCTAGCACCAAGCGCACTGAGCATCACGTCCACCTCCGTGACCGGACAGGATGCTGGTCGGCCCGGCTCAGAGGTGGCACTCCCCACTCCTGCGGGGGGGGGATGCCGCCACATGACAACACAGTTCCTAGCTTCCCTGAGAGCTGCCCTTTGGTGTGGACTTTCCTGGGAAGATTCGGGCGGGGGCTTGGGCGTCACTGTGAGGTTTACGGTCGGGCAGCTCACTCTGCTTTCTGTGACAGGCCTTGGGGTTTATGACACTCCAGGTTTCCAGGTCAAGGGCAGGGCACTCAGAGATGGGATGCGTCTTCTCTTGATCTGAGTCAGCCCAGTGAATCCACTTTGATTTAAGAGCAGTGTCTTCACTGCAAAACTCAACGGAACTGGGAACAGGAAGCAGCGCGAGGAGCGCCGCACAGGCTCACGGGCCTGCTTCCGCCTCGCGTCCCACACGGTGTGGCTCGTGGGTTGGGGTCATCGGGTCCTCTGCACCCCCGGCTCTGAAGCGGGGGTGCTACCACGCCTGGGCCGAGGGTTCGTGCCTCTCAGCCTGCCGCCCTGTCCCTCCTTGCGTGGCGGCGCAGCGGAGCGCAGACGCCTGCCTGGGCCACGGTTTGACGTGGTTGCGCTGAATTTCCTTGCAGTTCGGTACTTGCAGTGAATCTGAAAGGCGGACGGAGGAGTATGACACTCAGGTGAGCGGTGACCCGGGGCACGCGTGCCTGCCTGGAGGCGGTGTCCTGGAGCCAGGACCCCCAGGGAGCCTGCCTGCCGGGGGCTCCTCTCTTTCCCAGCCCCTGCGGGCTGAGTCCTGTACCACCGGGAGATATCTTATTCCTGGTGGGCAGCTGTGGGGCTGCGAGCTGAGCCTCTGTCCCCGAGACGTGGTGACCCCACAGGCTCTGCGTCCTAGGCCATCAGACTCCCCCTGCCGAGGGGAACTGTGGTTTTCAGTTTGATGTAATACACGTTTCCCGAGCGGGGATGATTTTATTTTCTGGTTTAACGGGCGTCAACTGCATCCCAGTTTTTATTGGGTTCTTGATAAAGTTCAAATCAGAATTAAGGGTGATACACCGCGTTAGTTGGAAGGCAGCCCTAAACTCGGAGTTCTGGGAGCATTTCTTCAGAGTTCTTTCCAGGACGTGTCGTCAATTCTCTGCCCTGGGTCGGTCTGTCAGCTTGGCTGTGTTTCACGGGCCGGTATTGTTACTGTTATCTCTGCCGTGCGGTCTTCGTGGTGGACGTTCTGTGGGGTTTGCACAAACGCTCACTGACACACATCCTCCACACAGACTAGCTTCGCTGCCCTGAACGTTCTGGGTGTTTTCCCCGTTCCGTTTGTGAGTTCCATCAAGAAAGTTTCGGCAGGTTTGATGGTGGACTCCCACTGGACGTTTTCTGTTCCCCGTAGGCCATGAAATACTTGTCGTACCTCCTTTACCCTCTGTGCATCGGGGGCGCCATCTATTCTCTGCTGAATGTCAGATATAAGAGGTAGGACGTCACCTTTGCTACTCTTCAACTGGAGCCCAGGGTCACTGACTGGGCCAGCAGTGGGGCCGGCACTGGGACGCCCCTCGGCCGCAGGCCTGGGCCTGCCCGCCGCTGCTGGCTCTGCGCGGCCCTCTCTGGTCCTTGCGGGGTCGGGAACGCTCACGGGAGCAGGCCTCGGGCTTGAACACACTGCCCGGGGCCACAGGGGCCGAGGCGTCCACGGGCGTCCGTGGTTTCCCGTCTCACTGGAAGTCGTGAAGGAAAGTCGGTAGGTGCCGAGTCTCTGCCCTCACCTCGGTGAGGGCTCCTGGGAAGCCGCTCCCCGTGCAGGTCGCCCCTGGCCGGCCCGCAGGGTCCCGGGACTGGAGAGCAGAGCGTGAGGGCGTGTGTGGGGCTCGGCGGTTAGCAGACTAGCACCGGGGCCTGCGGCCTCCGCCATCACCCGCTCCTCCCTTCCAGCTGGTACTCCTGGTTGGTCAGCAGCTTCGTCAATGGTGAGTCCTGGGTCTCCTGTCTCAGAGACAGCGTTTACAGCGGGTCGCTTTCTCCCGCCGCTGCGTGGCCCGGTGTGCCGAGAGGTCCCCGTCAGGCCCCGCCCTGCCCCGTGTTCTCCTCTCTGGGCCCTGCAGGACTGGCCGTGGGCGGCGTGCTCTCCGTGGAATGGTTGGGTGCGGGCAGTGAACCCCGCTGTCTTAGGGCACGCCGGAGCCCCAGCCCCCAGCCCTGTGTCCTGGGAGGAGCGCCCGCCCACTAGGCTCGTCCTGACCACGCGGCCGCTCTGCAGGCGGACAGGGCCGGGCTCGCGGGCCGCCGCACTCACCGGGTGTGGGCAGGGGCGCTGTCTCACAGCCCCGCGGGCGGGAGGCGGGTGGTTCACCGCAGGACGGTGCTCTCGGGCGTGGGGGGTCAGGTGGTCCTGAAGCCCGGGGAGGCAGCCGCAGGCCCGAGACGGCACGTCTCCACGCCGCGTCTGTCTCCTCAGGAGTCTATGCCTTTGGCTTCCTCTTCATGTTGCCCCAGCTCTTCGTGAACTACAAGGTAAGACGCATCCCCGCGTCCCTGTGCCGCCCCCCCGCGTCCCTGTGCCGCCACTGACGTGCTCCGTCTCCCTGTCCCCAGATGAAGTCGGTGGCTCACCTGCCCTGGAAGGCCTTCACCTACAAGGTCAGTGCCTCGCCTGCACAGGGCCCTCGGGGACTTGCCGTCAGGCTGGGCCATGCATCAGGAGTTCCCTCTGTGGAAGAGCGTCGGGGGCTCCTTTAAGACATAGGGTGCTCTGCGGCGACTCCGAAAGGCCAGGCTTCTCTGTCACAGCGGCACAAGGGGTTCTCCAAGTTAGAGCCGTGCTGCTTCTTGCCAACACGAATCAAAGAGCAGGCAGATGCCCTTGACCCGGTGGCCAGTGTCTGGGGTGCTGGGTCCGTGTCCACCCAGACGGCGCGTCCAGTTTCCCGGGGCCGGGCTGGCCGAGGGCTGTCTTGGTGCATCATGGCCTGTCCCACACACACAGGTGGGGACCACACGGCCCTCCGGTGCTGTTGGCTGTGAACTAGAGCGAGCGGCTTTGGGGTGGGGCAATGGTTAGAACATGCTTCTGCCTTCAGAACCGGTTGGCCGTTCTCGGGCAGGCCGGCACCATGATAGCCAGGCTCCCAGGTGGTGCTCCTGGGTCCCGCGTGCGGAGAGCAGGTGGGACGCTGGGCCTTGGAGTCTGTGCAAGGGGGTACCCTGGGCGTCAGCCCCTCCCGCCCCCCCCCCCCCCCCAGCTGGCTCCTGCTTCATGGGGTGGCTCTGAGGTCACTGGGCGGCGCGAGTGCAGGGACGTGACCGTGTGCCTGGGTGGTCTGGGCGGGCGCTGGGGCCCTGTCCCACGGCCTCGCCCGCCCGCCCGCAGGCCTTCAACACCTTCATTGACGACGTGTTCGCCTTCATCATCACCATGCCCACCTCCCACCGGCTGGCCTGCTTCAGGGACGACGTGGTGTTTCTCGTGTACCTTTACCAGCGATGGTGAGTGCCGGCCTGAGGTGCTGCTGCCCCAGTGGACTCGCTCGGGCCGCAGACCCACGCCTGGTCCTGCGGGGAGAGATTTGTGGGTGGTGGGTGGTGCCTGGCGCCTGGGTGCCGGAGCGCTGCTTCTGTCCGATTTGATCGCCCCTCGAGCACACGGCTCTCCTGCGGCGTGAGGGTCGCCCGCAGCTGCTGTTTAGCGGAGCCCGACGGAGGAGCTGCCTCAGCCCCTGTGCTACGCAGCGGGGGCCCGGAGTCAGGTCCCCTGTGGACGCATCCCAGCCCTGCCTCTCCTTGGGCATCCCTGTCCTCGTCCTCTCATCGGCCTCGAGGGCAGAGCTCTGGCCTGACCGTCACGAGAACACCGGGAGGGCACGGGGCAAACCCACACGCGCCTCTCCCGTGGTGAGCCGACCGTCCGGGTCTTGGCCATCGAGCGCCCAGGACACGCGCACGCGTCTGTCCAAACCAGCTGGCGTGACGCACGCGTGGTCTCGTTGCAGGCTTTATCCCGTGGATAAGAGCAGAGTGAACGAGTTTGGGGAGTCCTACGAGGGGAATCCCCAGCGGAAGCCCCACGCAGACTGAGCCCGACCCTGGCTGCTCGCAGCCGCGCAGAGGCTTTGGTGGAACTTCCTGACATCACGCCCCCTGCGTTGCCAAAACCCCGAATGTCCCTCACGTCCCCGGGTTCCGTCACGCTGTGTCCGACGGGAGCTGGCAGCACTGCCGCCGCTGCCCGCGTGGACGTCTGTCCGGTCACCGTGGCTGCGGGAGCGTCCGGTGCTGGCGGGGGCTGCGCTGTCACTGCCCTGCCCCCACCCGGGGGAGTTCGTCTCGGGGTCTGTAAACAGTCCTTGAGGGGATATCAGACGCCTCTTTGAATCCATTCCGTGCAGACTCTGGGATCAAATGGCTTTTTTCCTTTCTGTTTAAAATTTGACTATTTTAAGGCTTAATGTACGTATGTTTCTATTTTAAAATAAATTTCTCTGGCTGTAACACGTTTTTTGATCTGGTATAACATGTAAGGTTTCAGATGCTGGCATTTACCGCATTCCCAGAAATGAACGTGTGATGTATTTTTTCTCTATGTTTGTTAAAAGGAGCAAATGTAAAGAATCTCTCAGGCCAGGACTGTTCTTAAAATGCCTGCGTCTGGTATTGAAGCCGAAGTCAGCGCACTCCTGAGGGGTCAGGTGGATGGGGTTTCGTTAGAGAAACGCCCTGGGTAGCGCAGAGGGAGAAACAGGGCAGGGAGGCGTCTTCACTGACAGGACAGGGAAGGGCGAGATCTGGAGGGTGACGGGGTCAAGTCACGCTCAGTGAGGTTAGCTCCGGAGAGCCAGCCCTCACCGGGTGTGGGCACATGAGCACACACGGGAGACCTGTACGTACGTCAGCATCTCAGCCCCTCTGCCTGGCTCTGAATCCAGTCGTTCTCATCGATGGGATCATTCCTCGGCGATGTCTACACTGGCAGCCTGTGGCCTCCGGAAGTTCATCAAAGGGCCCGTCCCTAGGCAGAACATGGAGCCGAGGCGGCTGGGCACTGGCTGGTGTCTGGAGGCGGCTCTCAGGGTCAGGGCTGTGTGTCCTTCCCACGAGTCCTCACAAAGCCAGACCGAGAACTGCATGCAGAGGTCAGCGGGCAGCATGCACCCCCCGTGTTTTAGAAGAGAAGCTGCTGACTTAGAATTCTTTACCCACTGAAGGTATGTCTCAGGATACATTTTAAAACGGGATTTACAGACATCCAAAAGCTGGGAGAACTCATCACAGCAAATCTGCTTGTGAGACGTTACAGGGAGTCCTTCCATCAGGGATGAGGGCAGCAGGTACAAATCTGATCTGCACAAAGCAGGGGAAACCCTGGAAACAGCAACCACATGGGCAAGTGCAGACTTATTATTTAAACGATCTAAAAAATAACAAGCCACTTAAAGCTAAAATAATAACAATGTTTTGTGAGGTTCGTAACATGGAGCGGTAAAATGTGTGACAGCACAAAGTCCCGCAGGGAGGTTCTTGCACTGGGTGTGAAGATGTGCTATGACTCCAGGTGGATGGCGATGGGTTAGAGACAAGTGGCCTCTGAAACAAAACAGCCAATAAGGAAGACAGAAACACTCAGCGCAGGAGAAGGCAGGGCAATGTGGAAAGGAGCGAGAACAGTTGGGACGAGTTGAAACCAGTAGCAAAACTGTACACTTAAACCCAGCTTGTTAATAATCGCATTAAATGTAAATGGTTTAGACGCCCCAGCTAAAAGGCAGAGATTACCAGAGCAAATAAAAAAGCAGGACCCAAGAACACAGACAGGTTAAAATCAAACACCGAGAGAAGATCCACCATGTTAACATCAGGAAAAACATATTTTAGAGAAATAACATTACCAAGAAATAAAGTCTTTTCATAAAAGTAAAGGTATCATTTCATCAAAAGGACATAACAACCCTAAGTGTTTGTGTGCCCAATAACAGAGCTTGAACATATATTAAGCAAAAATGTTTAGAAATGCAAGGAGAAATCATGGAGTCCACAGTTAATAAGAGATTTCAATGCCATCTCAGTAATGGATAGAACAAGTATTAGGAAATCTCTGTAAGAACAGAGGAGACTTGAACACTTTCACTCTACGTGACCTATTTGCAGACACTCCACCCAACTTCAGAAGTGTACACATTCTTTTCAAGAGCATACAGAGGGCTTCCCTGGTGGCGCAGTGGTTGAGAGTCCGCCTGCCGATGCAGGGGACACGGGTTCACACCCCGGTCCGGGAGGATCCCACATGCCGCGGAGTGGCTGGGCCCGTGAGCCATGGCCGCTGGGCCTGCGCGTCCGGAGCCTGTGCTCCGCAACGGGAGAGGCCGCAGCAGTGAGAGGCCCGCGTACCGCAAAAAAAAAAAAGAGCATACAGAGCGTTTACCAAGAAAGAATATTCTGGGCCATAAAACCAGCCTAAACAACATTTAAAATGCTTCAAGTCATACAAATTATGTTCTTTAGCCCCAGTAGAATTAAGTCAGAAATCAATAACAGAAAGATCTGGGAAAATCTCCAAATATTTGGAAATGAAATATCACCACTTTGAAATAAGCCATGAATCAAAGAAGAAACCAAAAGGGAAATAAAGTATTTTGAAGTGAATGAAAATGAAAGCACGAACATCCACGTCTGTGGTACTCGGTGGGGAGTCGGAGGCCCGGCTGAAGCCATGCATACGAGGGGTTGGGGCACTAAGAACCTATAGCGGGAAGAGGCGTCCACATCCTCAGCTTCCACCTTAGGAAACTAAGAGCAGATGAGACCCAAAGGAAGAAGGAGAACATAACATGTATCAGAGCAGAAATCGGTGACACAGGAGAAAGACAATCCTGGGACTTCCCTGGCGGTCCAGCGGTTAAGCCTTCGCCTTCCAGTGCGGGGGGGTGCGGGCTCGATCCCTGGTCAGGGAGCTAGGATCCCACATGCCTCAGGGCCAAACGATCAAAACATGAAACAGAAGCAATATTGTAACAAATCCAATAAAGACTTTCAAAATGGTCCGCATCAAAAAAAATCTTTAGAAAAAGACAATACGGAATATTAATGAACTCAAAATCTTGTTCTTTGAGAAGATCAATAAAACGAATAAACCTCCAGCCAGAGTAATTAGGAGGAAAAGAGGGAAAACGCAATCACAGCATCGGTTATGAGGGAGGTGACATCACCAGATTCTACACATTTAAAGAATAGTGAAGAACATCGGGGCAGCTTTGTGCCGATACAACCAAAAACATGGACAAATGGACAAACCCCTGGAGAGACACAAACCACCCAAGATCTCACAGGAAGAAACCTGAATAGCCCTGTCTCTTCTGAAAATTCAACTTGAAGTTGAACCTTTCCCACAAAGAACCTTAGAACGAGACGGCTTCTCGGTGCGTCCACCTGACATTTAGGGAAGAAGTGGTACCAGTGCTGTGGTCTTCCAGAAGACGGAGCAGGATGGGATGCTCCCCGACGCCCAAGCAGCATCACCGCACATCCAGGCCGGACAGGCCTCGCGGGAAGAACGTTTCGGGACGTTTCACTCTGACCCCACCTCAGTGCCGCTCCCGCGGGGTCCTGGCCGTTTCTCCCTGAACCTCGCGAGTGAAGCCACCTCCTCTCACACATGCTTCCATTCCCTGGCCCACGTTTCTCAGACCAGACCTTCCTTCCTGAAGCACATCCTTTAGGGACCCGGCTGCTGGTAAGATCCTTCCAGGTTTATTCCGCACACAGGCCTTTACTTCACCGTTATCCTTGAAAGGTGCTCCCGGTGGATGGCGGTGCATCTCCCACTGCCTGCAGCCTTTCCAGAGCCGCTGTGGCTTCTCTCGTCTGAGTCGGCGATGCTCTCTCTACCACGTGTGGCGTCCTTGCCGTCTCCCTTTCCATGTGTGATGCACTGATTCCAACAGCGTGTTCGAGTCTACCATCGGCAATGGGAGAGCCTCGGCCACTTTTCCCAGAAATGCCCCTCCCACACGTTTCTTCTCCGCTAAGATTTGTTCTGTCCTCCCTCCTTGCCGTCAGCCTCCTTGCCCCTCTGTGCTGAACGCAGTGTTGTTTTCAGAGAGATCCGTGTTTCCACGGTGCTAATTTTCTCGACTTTGGTACTTAGTTCACTTACTGAATTGTTCATTATTCAGTCATCTATATGGTTCCAGACGTTCTATTTGATTTTATTTATTAAAGCTCCTGGTCTGTCTGAGGGGTCTTCTCCTCTGCCTGCTTTCCCGCTTCTGGGTTTGCGTAGAGGACGGGTCGGCACTGGGGGTGAATGTCCTTCGTGGCTGCAGAGTCTCTGCAGGCCTGATCCAGCTGCCTTGTTTTTGCTGGGGTCCATCTGCTCTCACGGTACTTCGTCCTCCTGTGTGTCCAGAGGTTTTTGGTTGTGAGCTCGTTTGGTTAAGACCGATCTGTGGGAATCCCGAGGCCAGATGTGTGGGTGATTCCTTCCAGGAAGGGTTAGAGCTCGTGTCCCGTCTGCCGGGTCCCGGGCTCTGTGGGCAGAAACACCTTGAGACCCTCCGAGGCCCTGTGAGCTCAGGGTCCAGGGTGACGCGTCTGGGTTTTCTTCCAGGAGCCGTGGAAGGCTCTGGTGGGTGTGATACGCTCTCACTCGGGCTTTTCTGAGATCATTCTGGCGCTTCCCGGTGGCCTGGAAGGAGCTAGAACCCAGCCAGCCCTCGGCCTGCCCCCCCCACCCCGAGCTGCAGCTGCCCTGCATCCTGACCGCGGACTCGGTGTGTCTGTGAGGAAGACCCAGCTCAGTCAGAGCGAAGCTCGGACCCCGGCCTCTTTTCTCCCCCTCCCCCCTCGCTCTTGTGACGGGCGGGGCAGAGTGGCCCCATGGCTCACTGTTTCTCAGTGACCCTGGCGAGGACCCCCTCCGCTGAAGAGCTTTGTAGATGCCCCCCGCCCCGGCCCTGGGCCGTGCCCACTGGGGAACTGGGACACGGCTGGGCCGGGAGCGATTAAAGGGCTTAATTCTGTAAGTAAATTCCACCATTCGGCATCCAAGTGGATAATTTTATCTTACCGCTTCCTTAAATTTCATCAAATAACTTTCAAGTGTGCAGAAAGCCAAAGGTGTGTGTATAACAGAAGCTGAACTGTGTTTGCCAAAGTGCGAGGACTAAATGCCCCATTTGGAGGGATTTTTAGTCCTAAGCACTTTTTATTGGTTTTCATAAGGCGGTTTAAGGTGTGAGAGAAAGTACACAAAGGCGTGGAAGCGGGTCAGACGGATCTGAGGCCAAGCTGCAGCGGGAGATCAAAGGCCTCGTGCACTGAGAAACTGGGGAAAGATGACTGTATTCCCCAGAGTCGCTGTCCGGGCAGGCAGTGAGCCTGTGGGCTGTGTCCCTGGGTCCCCCACCCAACTTGCTGCCTTTTCTCCTGGCTACGCTGCGTCGCCCCAGCGCCAGCTGGGTGTGCAGCGGGCCACCGTCCTGGCTCTGCCCCAGATTCTTGGGGGCTCTCAGGAAGCCGCCACGCGGACCTGCAGGGCGGGATGGTGACACCTGCCACCTCCTCCAGGGCCGCTATAGGAGCTGCTGTGTGGGAAGTCGCTGTGTGGATCGTAAAGTTCCACGAAAACAAAGACCGTTCTTCATGTTATTTACCTTTACCTCTAAGAATTAAACAACCATTCCAGTAAACTTGAGGCAGGACAAACCTCCACAAAATAGGGGCATAAAACACCCAGTGCATGAGTCTGATCCTGGAGACCCACCCAGGCGCCTGACCCATGAACCCCATGAGATAATAAAACGGTTGCTCTGAGCCCGCACGTTGGAACAACGGGATCCTTGGACTCAGAGAAACTGGGAGACGGGACGGGGGCCGAGGCCCTGGAGGGCAGCCCTCCACCCAGGTCCTGCCGCCAGGACCGTCCTCCTTGTCCCCTGCTCCGTCCCCTCCCCAGCGGGCCCCTTGGCTCTCCCTCTGGTGCCGAGAGGAGGTCCGGCCCCTCTGCCCCTTTGCTTCTCCAGAAAACACTTCCTAAATGCTGGTCCCTAAGGCTGTCTCGGCGATGTTCCCCCCGCCCCCCGACCCCTTGGTGTCCAGCACGAAGGGCAGTGCTCTGCCCATCACCTGCCTTCTCTGTTCCCTGAGCCAGACCCACCTCGGCCCGCGTGCAGCCCTGCTGTCGCATCAGCGCCCCCTCCCGGGTGTCTCCAGCGCTGCTGGAGTCCAGGCCTCTCAGGACCCGTCTGTCCCTGCAGGAAAAATCAGCGACACCACCAAGAGGCGAGGGACCTCTCATGTGGCACTGGTTGGGATGCAAAACGGAAAACTAGACATATACTTAGGACGTGACCCAGCGACCGGACCCCTGGGCGCTTGTCCCCGAGCGACGAAAAGTCATGGAATTGTGTACATTATGTACAACAAACACCCTGTCTGCAGCCATTCATGGCGGCTGTATTCGTCACGGTTCCAAAGTGGGAAAAACGCAAACGCCCCTCGACAGGCCGCATGGTTACATTAGCTGCCCATCCAGGCCTGGAATGCTGTTCCGGGATCAAAGGGGCAGACGACTGACACACACAGGAATTATGCTGAGTGGAAAAGTCACCTTGAGGTGACGTGTAATATGGTCCCATTTATGTCAGTGTCTTGAAGGGACACGGTTCAGCACAGAGTAGGCGAGTGGTCACCAGGGGTCACGGTGTATGTGCGTGCGTGTAGGGGGGAACTCGGGGGCCCAGCCCAGAGGCGGCGGCCAGTTCTGTATCCTGATGGCAGTGCTGGGCACGCGAGTCTACACAGGTGACAAAATGACACCGCCTTCTACCTACCCACTGCACCAGGGTCAGTGTCCCGGTCCTGGCTTGGTGTCCACCGTGTCACAGGGGATTAGCCACCAGGGGCGCTGGGAGAGGAGCCCAGAGGCAGAGCCGCTGCCCTCGACCGGCTGCTCTGCTGCATTGACTGTGGCAGGCAGAAGGACGCTCAAGGATGCCCCTTCCCAGGGGCTCTGAGGCCGGGACACGGCCCTGGACTAGCTGGACCCTGAGCCAATCGCAGGCTCCTTGTCAGGGTCAGGGAGGGGGACGCAGCCACAGAGGCAGAGGTTGGGGTCAGAGAGCTTGGTGGGTCCGCAGGCCATCCCTCTTCTCTCTCTCTCTCTCTCTCTCTCTCTTTCTCTTTCTCTCTCTCCCCCTCCCACCCTCCCCCCCCCCCCCCCCCCCCCCCCCCCCCCCCCCCCCCCCTCCCCTCCCAGCGTCTGGTCCTCAGGCCCCAGCACTGGGCTTGGGGCTGCGCTGCTGGCCTGCTTTGTTTTTACCCCATTGTGTTCAGCAGTCTGCATGTGTCCCTACATTGCACTGCATCTGTTTCAGCCAGCAACCTCCTCGGCTGAGACCCTTCTGGGTCCTGGTGGTGCCGTCCCACATCTTGACTGCAGACCCGAGGGTGCCTGGGGCGGGGGGTGGGCACGTGCATCAGGTGTGTCAGCCCGTGGGCATGGGGTGGTGCCAGACACGTCACTGTGGCCTGTCCCCCCTCCCTGGGCCGCCCTCCAGAGCCGGCCCTCCTGCGCCCGCGGGGCTGCGGTGTCCCGAGGCCAGTGGCAGCGAACGCAGGAGGGAACCGCTGCCCTCGGACAGCCCTGCTCGGGAACCAATGGCGTAATCGTTTATTTAAACACTGGCCAGGGCTCCGGTCATGCCCACTGGTTGGAGCCTCTGGGACCCTCTTTCCTCCCTTTGCTGGGCTTCTCCCTCTTCACGCCTTGCGGTGACTCCTCGCAGACGGGGGGCGATGGTCCACTGCCAGCCCTGCAGGCCCCCCACCAGCTCCCCAAGAGCAGCCCCGGTGTCCAATCACTGCACACGCAGTAGGAAACCTCAGTCGGGCTACTGTGTAATTGGGGGGCAGGGGGCCCTGTTTGCCCCTTCAGTGACAAACGGCACATATTTGGCTCCTGGCACAGAATCCACTGTTTAGAAATTTCCAGGTATGAAGTGTGAAACCCATCCACTGCCTTCCAGAAGTTCTAGAATCGGATTTTGCTGTATTTTGTCATAAGCCAACAATATGAAATTTTTTCTGGGAACATCTTTATGTTTTATGGCGCAGTGACCTGAGACCACCCCTAGCTTTCCAGAGACGGATTAACCGCACATGTAATAGTGCACAGAGTATTCAGGAGATGAACGATTTCCATTCTCTCTAGGAAAAGTTTCCTCACTTCAACATGGTATTATTCACACTGCTTCTGTTTCTTCTTTAAAAAAAAAATTGTTTTATATGCTGGTTTCTCCATTTTCTAGTTGTTGGAAAAGAACAAATTCCCCAAAGCCGCCCCAAATCCTCTACTGGCAGAAACAAGCAAGTCTCAGAGACCTTGCGGCGCTCACGCAGTGGACTTCCAGGAGAGCCACCCTTAGTCCCGAGGGTTACGAGCCGGGCAGACCAGAGCAAGCAGGATGAATGTGAGCGGCGGCGTCGGCGGAGGGGTAGCGGAGGCCTGTTTACGCCATGAAGACGAGCAATTTCTGACCACGCTTCTTAACGTTGTGAAGGGTTAACATTTGTTCAGCCGCTCAGTGTTTGCCAAACTCAGGTGCCTCGTCCCCGCAAGCCTCCCAAGACCCAGAAGCTTCCCATTTCTTACGACTCAACCTTGAACAACTGCAGTGTCTGGCTTTGGGTGGAATGTCATTAGGGCGACTGCTCTGAACTGTCTGGCTCACATGACCAGCCGTTGTCAGAACGGTGCCCCAGGCCTGGGGAGGGTCTGCGGCTGGGCTGCAAGGCGGGGGCTCCTCCTCTCTCCCTGGGGCTGCGAGCCTGGGGGCAGGCCCTTGACCTGTCCAGCCTCACCTTCCTCCTGGTGCTTGCGGAGGGAGCGGCAGCTCTGGGTATGGAGGGAGGCCACGGGCAGGTGCCAGGAGCCTGCAGGTTGTGCCCCAGGGAGCCTGCAGCTCAACTTCTCCCCTTCCTTTGCCCAACCCATCAGGTGGGTGATTCATAGGGAACTGATTTGAGGATTTTTGTTTTTGGTGGAGATCACAGTAGAACTCAAAAAGAGAAACTACAGCCTGGGGTCAGGGAGACCGAGCCAGTGGGGGAAGTGCCGCTGTTGCCTGCTGACCACTGCCCGCCGACCGCTGCCTGCTGACCACTGCCAGCCGCCGGAGCCGGGAAACAGCTCCAGGAGCCCCACCGCGTGCCGGTCCAGGTCCAGGGTGCGCCTGCTGCCTTGGCTTCCCCAGGCCCGCGGGGCAGGGGCGGTGGTCCATTCTCTTCTTTGCACATCATTACAAATTCGCTGCCATGAGCCCCTGCTGGACCCCAAAGCATCCCTCACTGCCCGGTCACGGCCCACGTGATAAAGTAACACACCAGAAGGACCCGCTCCGCGGGGGCGCAGAATGCACCAGATCCCCCAGGGACCCCACGTTATGGTCCCCTCCCTCGGTACCATAGAGCCTCTCCTCTGTGCGACCCTCGCAAGACCCCTGCGCCCTGGGAGGGGTCACGGCGTGTGGGTGGGGACACTGCGCGGAGCAGCTGCGCGGTCGGAGCAGGTTCTCGAGGCACCTGGGCGCAAACACCTCTGGGGCCACACCCGCGGCCCGCAGGGTGAACTAAGGGCGGGGCTGCGGGGCTCCCGCGACCCCGCCCCTTCCTCCTCCCGACCCCGCCCCTTCCTCCGCGCGGACCCCCCCCTTGCTCCGAAGATGCCGCGCGCGCCCAGGTGCCGGGCGGTGCGCGCCCTGCTGCGGGACCGCTACCGGCAGGTTCTGCCGCTGGCCACCTTCGTGCGGCGCCTGGGGCCCGAAGACCGGCGGCTCGTGCGGCGCGGGGACCCGGTGGCCTTCCGCGCGCTCGTGGCCCAGTGCCTCGTGTGCGTGCCCTGGGATGCGCAGCCGCCCCCTGCCGCCCCGTCCTTCCGCCAGGTGGGCTGCCTCCGGGGACTCCAGTCGGGCCCGCCGCGGTGGTGGTGGAGGGGGTGGGGAAGGACGTACCTGCGTCCCCAGCGACTCAGGAGCCCTCTCCCGCAGGTGTCCTGCCTGAAGGAGCTGGTGGCCAGGGTCGTGCAGAGGCTCTGTGAGCGCGGCGCGAGGAACGTGCTGGCCTTCGGCTTCGCGCTGCTGGACGGGGCCCGCGGCGGGCCGCCCGTGGCCTTCACGACCAGCGTGCGCAGCTACCTGCCCAACACGGTGACGGACACGCTGCGCGGCAGCGGCGCGTGGGGGCTGCTGCTGCGCCGCGTGGGCGATGACGTGCTCACCCACCTGCTGGCGCGCTGCGCACTCTACCTGCTGGTGCCCCCCAGCTGCGCCTACCAGGTGTGCGGGCCGCCGCTCTATGACCTCTGCACCGCCGCCGCGGCGCGGCCCACGCGACGCGCGGGCGGAACCCGGACTGGCCTCGGACTCACGCGCCAGGCCGGGAATGGCGGCGACGGGGAGGCGGGGGGACCCCGGGAGCTGCCGGCCAAGGGCGTGAGGCGGCGTCGGGGCGGCGCGGGGGGCCGTCCGCCTCCAGCCAAGAAGCCCAGGCATGGCCTGGAGCCCGAGCGTGGTACCGAAGGGCAGGCGCCCGGGGCCCACCTGGGCAGGGCGCCTGGGCGGAGCGACAGCGACCCCCGCGTGATGACACCTACCAGAGCCGCCACGGAAACCAAGTCTCAGGAGGGCAACGTGCCCAGGACCCGTCGCCCCTTCCCGCTGGTGGGCGGCGAGGGGGGTGTTCGCTCCCCATCCTGGCGGCCGTCACATCCCCAGGGCGAGCCCGGTCCCCGAGCGTGGGCTGAGACCAAGCAGTTCCTCTACTGCTCGGGCAGCAAAGAACGGCTGCGCCGCTCCTTCCTGCTCTGCTCCCTGCCTCCCAGCCTGGCGGGGGCCCAGAGACTCGTGGAGACCATCTTTCTGGGCTCTAAGCCCCGGCCACCAGGGGTTCCGCGCAGGATGCGCCGCCTGCCCGCGCGCTACTGGCGGATGAGGCCCCTGTTTCGGGAGCTGCTTGAGAACCACGTGCGGTGCCCCTACGGCGCACTTCTCAGGGCGCACTGCCCACTGCCGGCCTCCACCACGCCGGCAGGGTCAGGCGATCAGGAGAGCCCTGGAGTGGGCGCCCGCTCCGGGGAGAGGCCGGCCGCTACCCCCGAGGGGGACGCGGGCTCGCGCCGCCTGGTCCAGCTGCTGCGTCAGCACAGCAGCCCCTGGCAGGTGTACGGCCTCCTGCGGGCCTGTCTTCGCCGGCTGGTGCCCGCAGGCCTCTGGGGCTCCCGGCACAACGAGCGCCGCTTCTTGAGGAATGTGAAGAAGCTCCTCTCTCTGGGGAAGCACGGCAAGCTCTCACCGCAGGAGCTGACCTGGAAGATGAAGGTGCAGGACTGCGCCTGGCTGCGCGGGAGCCCAGGTGAGGGACCCGACCTCGGGACCTAGAGTGCGGTAGGGCCTCCTCCGTACCTCGCTCGGGGGGCAGGGGGCTTCTTGGTGGCTGTCGGGTGACTCCGAGTTCTCTGCCTCTGTCCCCCTCTCCCATCCAGTTTGCATAAATCTCCGGACGTTCATGGGCTCCGGCAGGTTCTGGGCGCTGGGGAGGGGCGGTGAGCAGGCGGGACACATGGTCTAGGGCTGCGCCAACAGACGGAGATCAACAGGAGGTCCTGTGGGCGTGTATGCGGGTCATTCATAACCCTTTTTGACGTCAAGGTTTATCGCCTTGGCGTGGTGCCCCGCTGATAGAAACGGGGGCTGGACCCAGAACCCCGTTTATGGGGTTGGGGGGTGCGGCTCCTGGGCTCCCCGCTGGATCTGGTCAGCCCACACGCGGATCCCGATGTGAGTTCCCATTGTGCCTCCACTAGGTCGGGGCCAGGCAGGTGGGAGGAGTGAAAAGACCGTGTCCTTGAACAAGGCCCCAGCGTCACCAGGGGTCAGAGGGGAGCATCAGGACGCTGTCCGCTGTCTCAGGGCAGTGGGCAGCCTCTGTGGGCGCCGGCAGGATTTTTTCTGTGGAGCTGAGCCTGCCGTGTCCCTCCCACTGTGGTGTTCTGGGTTTGACGTTGGGCTTCCTCCGGCCCAGCCACTGTCAGCCCCGCCTGGGTCAGCACCCTCCTTGGCAGGGCGGAGCCAGGAGTGAAGGGCCCAGCACCCTCCCTGCTCTCCCTGTGTTTGACCACCCCACGCTCCTGAGATGATCACGACTTCTAGGAGGAAGTCGTCTGTGAGAGCCAGGTTTGCCCCCCGCCTCCCCCGTGCGTGTGACAGTCCCCGGGGCGGTGGCCTCAGGTGCAGCCGGGGCACACCCTTTCTGGCTCCCCAAGAGACCCCGGGGCAGGTGACACGGACAGTCAGGGTGACCTTCAGCAACTTGGTTTAAAAAAAATTTTTTTAATTGTGGGAACGTGACATGAGACCTACCCTCTTAAACAACACTGAGGTGGACAGCACGGTACTGCGCACTGTGCGCTCGGTGTCCCACAGCAGATCTCCAGAAACTTTGCATCTTGCGTGACTTTTACACCCCCTGACCAGCAGCTCCCTGCGCGTGGGACGCCGTGGATGAGTCTCCAGGAGGCGGGCTCGGGAGACCAGGCCCTCACCTGACGCCTCTGTGCTCGTGGGGCCCCAGCCTGCTTTGTGGAAGCAGGCTCTGAGTTCTGTGCTCTGGCCCCGATTTCAGATGGGGTCCCCGTACCCCTCGAGCTGCAGGCACTGAGGAGGTGGTGTTTTCCCGGGCGACTGGGCCCTTGCTCACCTGAGCTGTGCCCCGGGCTGAGCCTTTCCATGGCCTCAGCCACGCCTTCTGCCCGCTGGCTGAATAAATGCTGCTCTGAGCTTCGGCTCTCCGAGGTCGCCTCTTCCACCCTCTCCTGCCGGAATGCTGCCCTTCCTCCGTGCCGGCCAGGCACTCCATCCACAGCGCCAGCTTCCTCTGCCTCTGTTGAGGCCATTGTCGTGCCTGCCATGCTGCCCACGGATACCTGTCAGCTCCCTGATCCCCAGCCCCGGAGGCCAGACAACCGGGCTGTCCACATCTGGGGCCACGTGTCACTAGAGACATCACCAGAAGGATTCCTGCGCGCTGCCTTAGCCTCTGGTTGGCCCACCCTGTCCGCCTACATCCGACCACGGTTGCTTTTCCTGAGCTGCGGGTGGGAGCGTTCCCCCCTCCCGCCCCTGAGCCCCATGGACCTGAGGCGTGGCTCTGATGTCTCAGCGGGGTGTCGGCCTCTCTTAATTTCCCCACCCCTCTGCTCCTCAGTCACCTGCGGCCCCTCCGACTCCCTCCCCGGCTGTGCATTTCCCCAGCCCCGCAGTAGCTGCCCGTGTTTCCATCGGCCGCTTTTCGGTGTTTTCTGTTTCTACTGGGATTGCCCCATTGATCTTGGAGTTATTTGGACGAATATTTTTTATTTTCCGAACGTGTGGCAGTTTTAAGTTGCCTTTTACTGTTGATTTCTGACTCAGCCACGTGCGGGTCCGTAGGACCGCGGTGGCCTGGAGCCTGTGGAGACTGGCTTGGTCTCGTGTGTGGCGTTAGCACTAATGGTTCCCGTGTGTTTGCAGGCCGGGGTTGGTGCTGTGGTCACCACGCCGGGTGCCGTGCAAAACGTGTGTCCTTCCAGATGACGCGATGCTGAGGGTACACGGCCCCAGGGGGTGGGTGTGTCCCTTCCTGCTTGCCCCGATGGTCTGCACGGTCTGCACGATGGGTTGTTAGCTGCCGGCACATTTTAGACTTAATCTTCCCCATGAATGTTTAGTGGCTCTTTTTACCGTAAAGTGTGTTTACCTGCCTTCCCGTTGGTTAGTATTTCCTGCTTGTGTCATTTTTCATTATTTAGTTTTTATCTTCAACCTCTTCGTATCCTATGAGAATACGCGGTTTAAGTGTCTTAACAACAGCACTGAGCTGACTTTTTTTTTTTTTTGCGGTACGCGGGCCTCTCACTGTTGTGGCCTCTCCCGTTGCGGAGCACAGGCTCAGCGGCCATGGCTTACGGGCCCAGCCGCTCCGCGGCATGTGGGATCTTCCCGGACCGGGGCACGAACCCGTGTCCCCTGCATCGGCAGGCGGACTCTCAACCGCTGCGCCACCAGGGAAGCCCTGAGCTGACGTTTTCTGTTTATTCTCAATCCATTCTGACAGTCTTTACCACTTACCGGGAGTAATTTTCTTTCATTTCCTGTGATGATAGGCGAGTGTGGATGCAGTTTTCACCTTGCACTTTGGCCCCCTCTTCCGCGTTTTTATTCCTCGTTTCCTGACGTGCATTTTCTCACGTGGGTGTGCGTGCGTTGGGTTTGCTCCCAGCGTTAGCTTTGTATCCTCCACTTACCCTCTCTGGGTGGTTGGTTACCTTGGGAACCGTGTAAGGGCCTTGCGTGTTGGAACCACATCACACTTGAGCTGTTCCGTCCACTAACCCAGTTGTGTCCCAAGTTAGATGCTGCTGGTACTGTTTCTACAGCCGATGTTATGTAGCTTCATCCCCCCTTCTCTTCTCCTTGCTCACCGTTCATTGTCCTGCCCCAGACCTGCCTCTGGGGCCCCTTTCTTCTCCTCTGTGTTTCTTTCATGCCGATTACGGGTGGTAAAGCCCTGGCTCTGTCCGCAGTGAGGCCCCCCTGGCAGCCTGGTGACAGCTCTCGAGATGCACCTCTGCTGGAGATGTTTCCGAGTGCACAGAGTAAAATGCAGAGGACCGCAGGGGAGCGCGCTCACCTTGGCCCGTGGCTGGGTCCGGAGCCCCGCGGCGTCGGGCGTCCCTCGGTGTGTGGCTGTGTCTGCTTGCCCGCGGTGTTCAGCCTGGTAAAGCCCAGGCATTTCTGGCTCTTGCCACCCGGGGGCGATGCACTCCAGCCTCAACCGCACGTCCCCCGTGTGGAGAGCAGCCTCTGCTCTCCAGCCTGTGTGTAAAGGGGACAGATAATGAGGTTCCACGTCATCGCCGCCCAGTAGAAACGTAACGTGAGCTACATACAACATTTCAGATTTTCCGTAGCCCCAATTAGAAAGTGAAAAAGGAAAGGTGAAACTAACTTAAAGACATTTTTTATCAAAGCCCGGTGATCCAACATCGTCACTTTAACATGCAATGGGGGAAGCGTCGTTGCTGAGATACCCACGTTCTCCTCTGCCCGAGGCTCCGAGTCACAGCACATGGGCCGCGTGTGCAGCCGTCCAGGCCCGAGGGGCCGCTCAGGCAGCACGTGGGGTGAGCACCGGCCTCTCTCCTCCCAGGGGCTCGCTGCGTTCCGGCCGCCGAGCACCGTCTGCGCGAGGCCGTCCTGGCCAGGTTCCTGTGCTGGCTGATGGGTGCGTACGTGGTCGAGGTGCTCAGGGCGTTCTTCTATGTCACGGAGACTACGTTCCAGAAGAACCGGCTCTTCTTCTTCCGGAAGCGCGTCTGGAGCCAGCTGCAGAGCGTCGGCATCAGGTACGGCCATCGGGAACCACGGCCTCTCCCTGCCCAGGGCTCCTCGCCCAGCTCCTCCAGGGACCCCGCCCTCGTCACGGACTCCGGCAAGCCCCTTCTTACCTGAAAGCCGGGGGCTTGGGCTGGATGGTCTGTGGGGTCTAGGAGTCTGTCTGGACTGAAACAGTACGGGCGGGCCGCTTACTTCCCCCTGGCACATGGGCCCGGTGCTGTTTAATCCGCACAGAACAGAGGATGACACAGATGACAGACCCGCCTATTTGACGCCGTGCAGTGGGGCGCGTCTGGGGCAGAGGTGTTGCCGTGAAGCAGGCCTCCCGGGGGCTGAAGGGCCGTGTGGTGGCCGTGAGATGTGTCTCAGTTGCTCACTGACTGTCTTATGTCCATTTTGAAAGACTGGGAAGGTGTCAGCTGGATTGGGATCCAGCCAGGATGGATGGGGTGACAGCCCGAAAGACACGGGCCGGGCCTGCCGAGGCACCCAGTGTCAGAGGGCTCAGCGTCTGCGCCAGAGCCGTGCCCTGCGTTAGGACGTCTGTGGAGGGAGCCGGGCCGGGGTCCCTGAGCGCACGTGCTGGGGCCCGTGTCCTCCTGTGTCTGGTGGGGGGAGGCTCTGGACGCCTTTATCGTGGTCTTGAGTGAAGGCGCCCCATTTAAGTATTTCACGCCATGTGACCCAAAGCGGGCGTTTAGGCTGTCCTTGTGGGGCCCATGGGGCCCAACCCCTGCCTGGTGGGTGTTTGAATCCCATGATGGGCTGTGCTTGGAACCACGCTTCACCCCTGGGGCCACCAGCCCAGGGAGCATCCTCACCCCAGCGGCCAGGAGGCAGGGGCCACCCAGGCCCTCCCTGTGGGTGGTTTTGGGGTAAAGGCTGAAGATCACAGGTAACAAGGAGCTAGCAGGCCCGTGGGGAGACATTTCTGTTCCTCAGGGGGCCACGCCGAGCACTCCCTGCCCATTCTGTGTAGAGTAGGGCGGGCTCGCTGGCCCGCGGGTCCCGGCCTACACCAGCCGGGGCTCTGTCCACCGGGAACTGGGTGTCCTGGCCCTGCCGAGGAGGGGCCTCCAGCTGACACCCGGCCACGCCACAAGCCTGGGGTGCTGGGCATGGGTTCTGCCGACTTCACGGGCACTGGTGGCTGCTATGCTTGCCCGCCCCGGCTTCCCACGGGCGCCTCTGTTTCAGACAACACTTAGAGCGCGTGCAGCTCCGCGAGCTCTCCGAGGCAGATGTCAGGCGACTCCAGGAGGACAGGCCGGCTCTGCCGACGTCCAAGCTCCGCTTCGTCCCCAAGCCCAGCGGGCTGCGGCCCATCGTGAACATGGGCGACGTCGTGGGAGCCGGGAAGTCGCACAGAGACAGGAAGGTCACCGCTTGTGCCGCTTTTAGGCAAAGTGCATTTGAACCCCAGGCCTGGTGGTTGTAGTCAGAGTCTCGGGGGGCTGGCAGCCCCAGTGAGGCCGTGGAATGGTGGGGTGCCGTGGATGGGGGTTCCCGGGCCCAGAGAAGGAGCTCCCAGGAAGGCCAGTCCTGTGAGGTGCTGGATGGGCTCTGGGAACCCTCTGTGCCCCTGGCCCCTGGAATCCTCCGGGGGTGGGCACGGTGTGCTCTCCGGGGCAGAGGGACCATGCGATAGCTGTCACCAGCCTGCCAGGGTCCCGAGGACCCCCGTAGGACCTCACCCCCATGGTTAGCCCCCGTGACTGCTCTCCCCGCCACAGCACCTCTGCCTCGCCAGCAGCTCTGACCCCTTCCATGCGCCTCCCTGTAGGATTTGGGGGTGATTTGGGGGTGATTCTACCGTGAGAAAGAGAAGCTGTCGCTGCTGATGGGGGTTTGGTCCATGAGCGAAGACAAAGTGCTCGCCCAGTGGGGCTGGGATCCCCTAGGAGGTGGTGCCCCCCTCTCCGCTGGGGCTGGGGCCCCCCAGGAGGCAGCACCCCTCTTCGCTGGGTGGGGGGGGACCAGGTGAGTAAAGGGGACCAAGGGTGTAGCTACTTGCATTTTTCCACACGTGGTGTCCGTGATCCCAGGACGGGTCCCTGGGGAGACCCTGGGGTCTGGGGTGGGCATGGTGGGGGGCAGCCATCTGGCCCTTCTGCGGTCCGAGGGAGGCAGGGTAGGCAGGGGTGGCAGCGGCGGCGGCACAGAGCGGGGGCCTGCCTCTCGTCCCTGGGGGCTGTCTGACCCCACATCCCCTTGGTCTGGGGCCCCTCTGGTGACACTGGTCGTCCTGGGCTGGGCCTGCAGGTCCAGCATCTTACCTCCCAGGTCAAGACCCTGTTCGCTGTGCTAAACTACGAGCGGCTGAGGCGCCCCGGTCTTCTGGGGGCCTCCGTGCTGGGCATGGACGACATTTACAGGGCCTGGCAGGCCTTCGTGCTGCCCCTGCGGGCGCGGGGCCCGGTGGCCCCGCTCTACTTCGTCAAGGTGGGCGCCCGATTCCCACCCCCACCAAGGGAACCGGCCCTGCAGGTGACCCCTCGCCTCAGGCCCCTGCCGGTGTGGGGAGTGGCCAGCCTTTTGCAGTCCCGTGTTTGCCAGAACGAGTCACCCCTTGGTGGAGCCGCGTCCACGTCCCACAAATTCTTCTGGGAGCGGGAGGGCAGGGAACCCCATCTCCATTTGGGGGTGTCTGGCTCCCAGGGGCGGAGGCTTTGTGCCTTCCCCTGTGGAGTGGACTCCGTGACTGCACCCCAACTCCACGGCAGCTCCTTCAGGGAAGGAGACACCTGCTCACACCCCAGCGCCGGGTGCCCTGGTCATCTGCCAGGGGCCTCCTGGTCATCAGCTTGCAGCTCAGAGAGAGGGGCGAAGACCCGCCCTGAGGGTGCTTAGAGTCCGGGGGATGTGGGTATCTCAGCGAGAGCCCCGTGGGGGGCGGGCGTGGGGGACGGGGACGGGACAGTGTGAGGGGGAGTCCAGGGTCTCCCCAGTCCCCTGGTGTACGATTCACCCCAGGGTTTGCTGACCGCAGGTCAGAACCAGCAGGACCGGGAACTCGGGGCCCAGGTGAGCGCGTCCTCAGGCACTTCGGTTCCCATGTAGGTGGACGTGGCGGGGGCGTACGACGCGCTCCCCCAGGACAGGCTGGCGGAGGTGATAGCCAACGTGATCCGGCCCCATGAGAACTCGTACTGCGTGCGCCAGTATGCCGTGGTCCAGAGGACTGCCCGCGGACACGTGCGGAAGTCCTTCAAGAGACACGTAAGCCCCACCTGGGGTGTGTTCGGTGCTGGGGAGCGCGCTCTGCGGGAGGCGAGCGTTGGGTGGTGGGGGGCGTGGTCTGCGGGAGGGGCATGCGCCGTGGTGGTGGTGGGGCGTGGTCGTGCCCCCCCACCCCCCCCCCCCCCCCCCCCCCCCCCCCCCCGCACGCACGGTCGTCATCTTCACTCTTGGTGTTCCCGTCGGTTACTGTCCTCCCGCTGCCCCTTCACAGCCGCAGGGCCCCGACTACACACCGGGCTGAGCAGAGAGGAGGGACCCTGGTGGCAGCAGAGCCACGCGTGTTTCCGTGGTGTCCCAGCGGCCACGCAGCAGGGCCGCGTGTGCTCCATGGGCCGGGAGGTGCCACAGGGCGCCTCGCCCGGGACTCCTGGGCCGCGCTGCTGTCCGTGTGGGCGCAGTGGGTCGAGGGTGGAAGGGCAGCCCCTCGCCGCAGCCGCCTGGGGCCTCCGGCCCAGGCAGGGCTGGGAGGGGACAAGGGCATTCGGTTGAGCCCGAGGCCATCAGGTGGGGGGTTTCCTAGCGCTTGTCGGGAAGGCTTTTGGATCACCTCCCCACCCCACCCCGGCCGAAACAGCGTGTGTACTGGAGGCGTGGCGGGGGGTAGTTCCCCCAGAAGTTCTTGGAAAAGGTGCGTGTGAAGACCCCAGCACAAGGCGCTGGTGAGCATGGTTTGCGAGTCCTGAGTGTGCGACACAGGATCTTGGGTTTGTGGACAGGGATGACGTCTTCTCCGCTTCACGGCCCAGAACCGCAGCGCCCGCGGGACTCCCTCCCGCCCCCGGGGGCACCTCTCCTACCCCGAGCACGGCGACATGCTCGCTTGTCTCTAACTCTGTAATGTGAAATCAGGGAAACTCTGCCCTCCTGTCCGGTTTCCGCCGCGTCTGGGGTCCAGCCGCCCAGAGCAGTGTCTCCGTGTTCTGTCCGCGGTCGCCGTGCGCGGTGAGGTTTCGCCTTCCGCTGGGTGGGCGTTTGCCGGTTCCTCTTTGGGCGTGAGTGAGGCCGCTGCCAGCATCCCCGTGATGTGCCGTTTGGGAAACAAAGTCCTCGTTGCCGTGGGCGGATTCCAGGCTTGTGTAGTTTTAGGAGATGTTGCCCAAGAGGTTCCAGCGCGGCTGCAGGCGCTGCAGGGGGGCCCTGGCGGCGGTATTGGCGGTACCGAGGGACCAGGGGTGCAGCTTGCAGCCCGGCCGCCCGGTGGGGCAGCGCAGTCCTGTCTGTGGGACTCGGCCTGGGGAGATCCGGTTCTGGGCACCTTGTGTACCGGCCACGTGGTTGTGTCCTCTCATGGGGTGCCCATCCCATCTCCCCGGTGCTGCCAGGCTGTCTCCTTGGTCATCCATCTTAGGGGATCTTCCCACGTTCTGGGGACAAGTCCTTGGGCAGCTGTGGGCTCCCAGGCGCCTTCTCGGCCTGTCTCACCTTTTCTTTTGCAAGTGGAGATGCTTTTGTTTTGAGGGATCCAGCTTATCCTCAGTGTGGGGCTGAAGCCGTGTTGTGCTTGAGCGGCGCACCTGCCCGGCTACCTGACCCTGATGCTCCTTTAGAATGTTTCTCGTTAGAGCTGCGGCGTTCAGTCCAGGGTCTGTTCTGAGTCAATTTTTGGGCTGCTGCTTTAACGTGTTCCGTCTCTGCTGGAATCTGGGCATTTATAGACCTGTCCTCTGGTTCACTTGCCTGCTCTTTTCTGTCTCTGATTTTAAACCCATTTATGAAATTCTTAATTTTAGCCAGCCTGTTTTTCAGTTTTAGAAATCCATGTGAATTTTCTCACAGATTCCAGGGCTCTGGTTACATCCTCCATCTTTGTTTTGTTAGCAGTGTTATCTTGAGTGATTTTAAAATGCCAGAAACTATCGCCTGCAGGCAGGTTTCTGTCGTGTCTGTGTCTGCTGATTTGTGGGTGGTTTTGGTCACACAGGCCTATTCTGTAGCTTTTGGAATTTTTTCCCGGTGTGCCAGACTTTGTAAATAGGGGTTTTAACGTAAGGGTTTTGCGAGCTTTTCTCCAGAGCGGGTGGTGTTTTCCTGGCAGTGGTGGAGCCGTGACCTCAGTTCGGCGGGGGTCCATTCTAGACAGTGTGGTGCCTGGTCTCCCTCACTTGGCCCTTCCCCAGTGTGGTCCCCTCGGAGGGGCTGGGCGTGGCTCCGGGGGCGCCTGCTGCTGAGGGTGTTTTCTCTGCAGCCCCTCCCCCGGGAACTGCCCCTCAGTCCCAGCTGTTTCGTGGCTCTGAACCCCAGCATCTTCAGCCTTAGAGCCCCCACTTTCTGCTCGGGCTCCACCTCCCACGGTGGATACAGGCCTTGGGGAGAAGTCGGGGTGAAGGTGGGATGCACCCTGAGGGCTGAGACCCCAGCCCACCTGCATCCCGCCTCCCCAGCATCCCCAGGCGGCCGTGCTCTGCATCTCATCCCTGGTCGTAGCGGCCATGGCGGGGCCTCCCAGGCTCTGTTCCCCGTTCTGAGTGTGCCCTTGCTGTCGGGGCTTGGGGAGGGGGGGCGTCCACTCGCCTCACCCCGCCTTCCCGGCCAGCAGGTGTCCACCTTCACGGACCTCCAGCCTTACATGAGACAGTTCGTGGAGCGCCTGCAGGCAGCGGGCTCACTGAGGGACGCCGTGGTCATCGAGCAGGTCAGTGCGGGCGCTTGCTCACTGCTGGGTCCGGGGCAGCCGTGCACACCCTCTGTGGCTGGCAGAGACTTGCAGCTGCCTTTGGCCACGTTTTCCCTCTTCTGGGCCTCACGCACCCTCTTGCCCGCGGCTCTTCTGAGATTTGCTGTACATCTTCGCTCGCAGTTTGGTCTCGAGGTCACGCGAAGGCGAGCCCACTCCCTCTAGGAGGACAAGAGAGGGTTTGCCCCGTAGACCCGCCTCGAGCTAGCCCATCGAGTGACCGTTGCCTTGTGTGAGCAGAGTGTCCCAAAGCCAGGTTTGCCAGCAGCGGGTCGGCCCTCGCGGTCCCCATGCTTTGTGCACAATAATCTCTGGGCGACCCTGCCACGATGTGAGGCTCCCAGACACCAGACGCCTTCCTTTGGGTCCGGGGCCCCCACCGCGAGCCGTCCGGCTGGCCCGCCGGCTGGCCCAGGGCGGCATCCACACTGGTGAACGCCCGCCTGCCTTCGCAGAGCTGCTCCCTGAACGAGGCCGGCGGCAGCCTCTTCAAGCTCTTCCTACGCCTGGTCCACAACCACGTGGTCAGGATCGGTGGCAGGTGAGTCCGGACCCCGCGGCTCCCCCTTACCGGCCACGGACAGACACTGCGGCCGTGCGGCCGGGTGACAGAGCAAGGCTCCCACGGTTGTGGGAAGTCCTTGCGTTCAGAAGCCGGCAGATAACTTTTTTAACGTGTGTGGAGCCAGACCGGCCTGGGCGAGTGCCTGAGCGGGACCCCGTGTGCGACCGGGGAGAGCCCGGGGGCTTCGGGCTCACAGCCACGGCCGTTAGAGGTCAGCCTGGGCCGTGGCGCCTTCTCGGAGGTCGTTAACCGTGGGCCACGCTCAGGAAACTTTCTAGTTAAAGGGTGTATTTTCATTATTATTATATTCTCAGTAATTACAGCACTTAAAGATAATCACGTTAAAATATAAAAAAACACGTACACCCTGGGGAGGCACACGTGCTAACTGCACAACGGGGCGAATTTTGACAAAGGGAACACGTCTGCACGTGCGTGTAAATGGCACCGGGTGGGAAGAGGACTTTCTCCACGGGAAGGGCCACGCCTGTGGCCCCTGGCTCCTCCCCAGGGGCACCACCACCCGCTGTGACCTTCGTGGAGAGGGGTCGTGCCACGTGTGACCGAGGCATGGCAGGGCCTCACGGGGGAGCGTGATAAATCTTGATTCATGTTCCCCCAGGCGGGTGCGGCGTGGGCACGCGTGTGCACGTATGTCTGTGCTCCACGTCTGTGCATGTGTTTACGACATAAGCACGAGGCCCACCGTGGCTGGCCCACCTTCTAACCACGTCCTGCCCCCCAGGTCCTACGTCCAGTGTCAGGGGGTCCCCCAGGGCTCCATTCTGTCCACCCTGCTCTGCAGCTTCTGCTACGGAGACATGGAGAACGAGCTCTTCCCCGGAATCCAGCGGGATGGGTATGGAACCCTCTGTGTTGGCGGGTGTTGCCTTGCTTGGGGCCTGTTTGTATTTTTGTTCCTGGATGTAGACCGGGCCTCACCCTTTCTTCTCATAACGGTGCACAGGAGGTGGTCAGCAGGCCTCAAGCGGGGAGTAAACGTGGCCTTCTGTGTGGCCGGGGCTTCGGACCAGCGCCAAGCTCGTGTGCTTCCGGCCCAATTGCAGGGCCCCTGCTCGGCATCCACAGCTGGAGCCGAATCCCACAGAAACCAGAGTCTTTGGTTAGATTCTTTGGAGAAGGTCACTTTATCCGTGTCCACGGGAACACAGACATTAAATTTTTCAGCGTTGGCTCCTGTGGGAGGACGCTGCCTGTGGGCGTAAAGCAGTGCGTTCAGGGTCCCCCTCATCTCGGGGTCAATCCGTGTCCAGGGTTCTCCTGCGCTTCGTGGACGACTTCCTGCTGGTCACCCCTCACCTGCCACGAGCCAAAGCCTTCCTCAGGTAAGGGCCCCCACGCGTGTGTCTCTGCAGGCGCGTTTTGGCCCACGTACGACGGTGGGACCTGTGTGCGAACGTCCATGCTCCCCACACGTCGCATCTCTGGGGAGTGTCACACGGTGTGGTCCCGCGGCTCTGAGAGCCCAGAGTGCCGTCACTTCCTCCTGTCGCTGGCGTGGCCGTCAGGACGCAGGTGCCACCGCAGGAGCTCAGGCAGCAGGGCTGGGTCTGCAGAGGCTCCTTGGAGGTTCGGTGCCCATGATGCACTGGTGGTGGACGGAGCAGAGGCTGTGCGCTACGCACCACGGGGGACGGAAGAGGAAAGGCCTGCACGGCTCACCTGTGGCTTCCCCACGGAGAACGTCTTCGAGAGCGGGGAATTCAGACGTGTCAAGAAGGAGGGGTTACCAGGCATGGGGATCGCATGGGCTTGGTGCCCAAAGCAAACCCGGCACCTGGGACCCTTTGGGCTGCGGCCACAGTGCCCCATCCGTCCCGGGAGTCTGGGGGCTTGTTTCAAAGCGTGGTTTTCCAAGGGAGGAGAAAGTTCAAAACTGAGCCCTCAAGGCGTCCCCGAGCCTGACACTTTGGTCACTTTGGTCGTTGGGCTGCCTTTGGAGAAACCCACCTGGACAGCAACCGCGTATCCCGTGTCTGCCTGCGGGGTACCCCAGGCTTGAAGCCTGTAGAGTCCGCCCGCTGTGATGCCCTGGGGCTCCCTATGGCAGCCCCAGCACAGGACACTGCAAATGTAAACCCGTGTTGCACGCGGGTCCGCATGGGCACCGGCCACAGTTGGAGAGCTCAGTGGCCACACGTGTCCAGTGGCCACCGGAGGGGACAGCGCAGAGGTCGTCGCCTCTGTCATGGGAAGTTCTGGGAGCGGCGCTGCTCTGTGGTCGTTGGGCTGGGCAGGGAGGTAGCTCTGAGCGTGTCCGTAGGGTCCCACCAGGGGGCGCAGCAGACAGGCACACGTCCAGGAGACTTGCTGCAAAGGAGCTGGCTCGCGTGATGGTGGGGCTGGCTGGGCAGGTTTGAAACCCGGGGGCGGGTGGCAGGAAGGGCAGGTGCTGGGGCTGCAGTCCGTGGGCGACCCCCGCAGTCAGGACACCCCCGTTTGGCTCTCAGGGCCCTTCCCCGATGCGTGAGCCCGCCCCACTCTGGGAAGTGTCCTCCTTTAAAGCCGGCTGGTTGCAGGTGTCAGCCTCACCTACAGACCCCCTGGTCTTAACGCAGACTCGAGTGTGCACACCTGGGGACCTCAGCCTCGCCAGGTGGACACATCGGCTGGCCGTCACAGAGAGGACCCATCCCTTGGACTCTGCCTGCCCTCCGAGCCCCGTGTCTCCCGGGTCCCAGACGACCCGTCAGCTCAGTCGCCCACCTGTCTTACCTGGAGGGCCATCCAGGCGTGCGCTCGTCCTTCAGGACTGGTTCTTGGGGCTTCCGTGCTCCCCTTCCCCGCTGCCTGCCTCTGCCCTTGCTGGCCTGTCCACCCTGGCCTCTAATCGTTGGCACTTGTTTGCCCAGAAGCCTGGAGGCCAGAGCAGGGCTGTGTCTGGCGTTCCTCGCGGGCTCATGGTCCCAGCCCTCCAGTCCCCGCCCGCCTCGCTGGGCTGTTAGGTGACGTTGACCTGTGCCTCCGAGACCTGCGGGTGGCGTCCCCTCTGCCTGGTGGCTGACGTGGCCCCCCTGCTGCAGGACCCTGGTCCACGGCGTGCCCGAGTATGGCTGCCTGGCGAACCTGCAGAAGACGGTGGTGAACTTCCCCGTGGAGGACAGTGGCCTGGGCGGCGCGGCCCCCCTGCAGCTGCCGGCGCACTGCCTGTTCCCCTGGTGCGGCTTGCTGCTGGACACCCGCACCCTGGAGGTGCGCTGTGACCACTCCAGGTGAGCTCTGCCGCCGCGCAGCTCTGTGCGTCCTCCCGCGTGGCAGGGCCCAAAGCCCCAGGGGGGTCACAGGCCAGCGGTGGGCACTAGGGGATGGACTCTTTGGGGGAGCCGTTTTCTGGGCGCTTTTTGGTTTTTTGGCTGCGTCGGGTCTTGGTTGCAGGACGCGGGATCTTTGTTGAGGCACGCGGGATCTTTGTTGAGGCACACGGGATCTTTCGTTGCGGCGTGCACGCTTCTCTAGTTGTGGTGTGCGAGTTTCTCTCTCTCTAGTTGTGGCGTACGGGCTCCAGGGCACGTGGGCTCCGTAGTTTGCGGCATGCGGGCTCTCTCGTCGAGGCGCGCGAGCTCAGTAGTTGCGGCGCACGGGCTTAGTTGCCCTGCAGCATGTGGGATCTTAGTTCCCCAACCAGGGATCGAACCTGCGTCCCCTGCATTGAAAGGCAGATTCTTTACCACTGGACCACCAGGGAAGTACCTTCTGGGCGTTTTTGATAAAAGGAAATCGCGTGGCAGACTCGGGGGCGCACAGCGTGTTCCGCCGGGAAGCATGTGGATCTGAACTAGAGCTTCCAGGACCTGCCAGACAAGGGTCTCCGTGGTCTCACTGGGCACCAGGATTCGTGGTCACCTCTGGCCCGTCGGGGAGCAGGGCTGCCGTGCGTGTGGCCTGCTCTGTACACAGAGTCTTGGGTCCCTGCCTCGGTCAGCTCAGGCTGCCGCAAAAAACACCACGGACATTTCCGTTCTCTCGGTCCTGGAGGCTGGAAGCTGAGGTCCAGGTGTCGCAGGCCGGTTTCTCCTGGGGCCTCTCCTGTGAGTGCGTGTGGACGCATCTGCTCCCCAAGGCCTCACACGGTCACCCTCTGTGTTCAGCCCCTCAGTGTCTCTTCTTAGGGCACCAGTCCCATGGGATTAGGGCCCCACCTTTATGATTCCATTTTGCCTTAATCACCGTCTTAAAGGCCTTATCCCCAGACGGTCTCGGGGGTCGGGGCTTCAACCTGTGAGTTTGGGGGATGCAGTTCGGCCCCTGAGAGCCCGTCCCCCACCTCCCCCACACTGAGCCTGAGAGCGCGCAGCCCAACCTCAGGCTTTGCAGAGAGACTCGCGATGCACTTGGACACAGGAACCTGTGCATTTTCATGAATAAAAAGCGCAGGTGTCAAGACGGTGGTGGACGGGTGTGCCCCGTCCTGCGCTGGTAACGCGGTTCTGCTGGAGCCCTCAGGGCTGCACTTGGTCCTCTTTCTGGGGTGCTCCCGAGAAGACGCAGGTGCAGACGCTTTCCATGCTCCCGCCGCCCCCTCTCATGTCCGGGCACCGACCACACCGGTCAGTCATGAACTGTCCACCAGGTTGTCTGGCTCCCCGTGAAGCCGTGACCGTTTGGGGGACAGGCGCCCATTCCGGCCCAGCGCAGCCGATGGGCTGGACGTGTGTGGCGGTCAGAGTGTGAAGTGGACACACGTGTTTCCACGAACCCCACGCTGTCTCGCAGTTACGCCGGGACCTCGATCAGAGCGAGTCTCACCTTCAAGCAGGGCTTCAAGCCTGGGAGGAACATGCGTCGCAAACTCCTGGCGGTCCTGCGGCTGAAGTGCCATGGGCTCTTCCTGGACCTGCAGGTGTGCGGGTTGCCCGTGGGCGGCTGGGGCTGCGGAGCGCAGAGGGCAGCTGCATCGCCTGAAGGTCCGCGCGCACTTCGTAGATCCTGGGGGCGCACGTGTGTCTGTTCCTGTGTGCGGGCGCGTGCACGTGTGTGGAGGCACATCAGGCATCAAATACACGTGCACTCTCGAGTTTACGTGTGTTTGAACGAGTGTGTGCCTGCGAGTATGTGCAGGTGTGTAGTGTGTGGGTATGCGTGCCTGTGCCTGTGCCTGTGTGCGCAGGTGTGCACTGTGTGGGTGAATGTGCGTGTGTGTGTCCAGGGCCCCCGGCCCTCACCCTGCCGCGCGGCTGCCCCGCCATCTTCGCCCGGGCCCCTCCTCACAGGCTGTAGGGCCCAGGACCGCTGTGGCCTCAGCGCTGGAGCCGCGGGGCCCAGGCCGTCGTCCAGCCAGGCTGGGCTCTCCCCCTTGTTCTGCCCGCAGGCCTGACTCCACCACAGCTGCTGAGGGGCCCCAGTGAGGACCTGGCGGGTTTCACGGGAGAGACTGGTGGATTCTTACCGAGATGGTCCTTTTTTTCGTTCCGTTTGATGGGGCAATAAAGCAAAAGACAAACTCAAACACCAGAGGTATCGCCAACATTGCTTTTTCTTATGACTCCAGGTGAACAGTCTTGAGACAGTTTTCACAAATGTTTACAAGATATTCCTGCTGCAGGCCTACAGGTGGGTCCACGGGTGGCTGCTCCACGAGGGAGGCGACGGCCCCGCCCTGGGGAGCGCGCTGCCCCCGGGTCCGTGAGGAAGCAGCGTGTGCGTCTCCGCGGAGCCCTCGGCAGCTCTGGAGGCGCTGCTCCTGGGCACCAGACGGTGCTGGGAGGCCCGAGCGGCCTGGGGCGGCCCGAGTCCCCGCGGCGGGAGGGGCTGGCGGGAGGAGGGTGGCCGCGGGGCAGGGGCGAGTAGGCGAGCAGAGGGCCAGTCAGTGCACAGGAGGCGTGTGTGGTCCCGAACCCTCAGGCGCCCCCAGAAGGGACGGCGGGATGCAGCTCCCGATCATTCCAGCCCCTCTTCCGGAACGTTCCCTGCCCTTGGGTGGCTCTGCGGCCCCCCTCCAAGAACCAGGGCCGGGCAGGTGATCGTGGAGTCCGCTGCTTGTCCATCCTGGGGAGGTGGACCCCGTCCTTCACTCACCGTGCCGGCTGGCCTCGGGGACCCAGAGCCAGGCTTGCCGCCCGTGGTCTCCAGGGAGCCCTGCCCCGGGCAGCCTGGGGAGGCTGGGCCCCTGACAGAGCTGACATCCCCAGGTTCCACGCGTGTGTGCTGCAGCTCCCGTTTAATCAGCCAGTCGGGAGGAACCCCTCGTTTTTCCTCCGGGTCATCTCTGACACCTCGTCCCGCTGCCACGCCCTCCTGAGAGCCAGGAACGCAGGTGTGCACAGGCGACCAGGGCACGGCTGGCGGGCCGAGGGGTCACGCCCACGTGCTCCGTCCTGTGCCCGTCCCGGGTCCCTCGTGTCCCGCGGCCACTGCAGCACCTGCCTCTCCAGCGGAGATGGGGTGTCGGGGCGCCTTTAACCTGCTAGCAGCTCACCGCCCTCTGCCACGTGACTGGAGAGTGACGTGGCGCTTGGGGGCCAGCTGGTGGCCCTCCTCCCCTGGGGCTCTGGGCGCTTGCGTCAGTCTAGGCCAGGGTCCGCAGGAGGCCCTGGGCCACCCCTGCCCACCTCAGCGAGGGGCACCCACGGCAGCTGCGCGCCCGCTCGCTTTGGGTTCACGGCCCCTTGGCCCGGCCTCCTCGGGGGCGTCCCCACCTGAACGCTCCCGCTGCAGCCCCTGTGTCTGCACCTCCGACCTCGTCCTGGGCGTTCCCGATCTGTCTGAGGTTCAGGCCGTGCGTGTCTCTGAGGTCCTGGGTGTAACAGACTTTGCTCTTCGTCACGTCTGTTTGTGGAGGTTTCTTGGAGAAGTTGAAGAAAATGTCTCCGTTTTCAGAATTCCTTGGTGCTCGTGTCGGGTGGCCCCTGAAATGAAGTGGCCAGTCTCCCCCCCAGCCGCCCCCAAATCCTCACTCATGCCATCAGCCTGGAGGGACCCCCGGCAGGAGGGCACCGTCTGGGGCCCCTGGTATCCCCGGGGAGGAATGCTGCGGCGGGGCCAGCAGGGCCTCAGCCTCTCCTCGTGTCCCCCAGGGATGTCACTGGGGGCCAAGGGCGCCTCCGGCCCGTTTCCTTCCGAGGCCGCGCAGTGGCTCTGCCTGCACGCCTTTCTGCTCAAGCTAGCTCGTCACCGCGTCACCTACAGCTGTCTTCTGGGGGCGCTGCGGACAGGTAGGCGCGGGTGGAGTGCCAGGCGCCCCTTCGTGAGGTGCGGGCCCTGCCCTCCGGTGCTGGGGCCCCTCTGTGTCTGAGGGGCAGGTGGGCGGGTCTCAGAGCCCCCAGGTGAGGGGTGCGGGTGCCCCGAGGGTTACAGGCCCCCTCCCTCGCCCAGGGGCCTGGCATGACCACCCGGGTCTCACCACCTCTCCACCCCGCCCCGGGTCCTCGTCCTCCGTCTCCCCTGCAGCCCCCCACCTGTGTGTCCTTCCTCGCACCCCTGACCCAGATCCCCCTTGGGCCTCTGCCGGACAGTCCCCATGCCCCCGGCAGGGGTGGGGTGCTTGCCCCCTCCTGAGGTGCCCGCCCCAAGCCCGCCTGCACACAGGGTGCTTGGCAGTGTAAGTGCCTGTGGGCCCCGGGGAAGGGCGGTCTCTGGTTTCTCCGGGGCGTAGGTGGGGGTTTGGTGGCCTGACTTCAGTCGCCTTGTAGCCAGAGCCCGACTGTGCCGGCGGCTCCCGAGGGCCACTCTGGCCGCCCTGGAGGCAGCAGCCGACCCGGCCCTGACCGCAGACTTTAAGACCATCTTGGACTGACGGCAGCCCTGCTCACAGACTGGGCTGGGCTGGGCTCCGGAGCCCAGTGGGAGGGGGCAGCCCCCAAGTCCTCAGGGAAGCAGGACCCGCGCACCGTGGCCTTCCCGTGACGGGGTCTGTTCTCCAGCTGCTGACCACCGGGAAGCGGCAGGTGGGAGAGCCGGGCATCGGGCGTCAGGCATCTGGACGGGTCTGGGGGGCCCTTTGTCACCCCCTTCCCCTCGCTGCAGGGGCTGCCCCGGTCTGGAGCGATGGCATATGTGTCCCCGAGGGCACGGGGCGGCACATGGGACTGAGTGGTGGGCGTGGGCTCCTTCCTGCTGACCTGTGCAGTCAGTGCCCAGCCCAGCCGTTCACACCCACCTCGGGAGCAGTGCCTGCCCCGGGTGCCTCTGCCGGCTGCATCCGTGGTTCACGCCCCATGGCGCTTTCCCCAGAAGCGAAGGGCCCAGTCAGCTGTTTGAGGCCCGGTTCCACCCGGCCCTGCCCCTGCTTCCGACCCCGCCTGTCCTTAAGCTCTGCACCCGCCCGCACCCCCATCTCTGGGCCCTCCCCGCTGGTGCCCTCTCAGCACATGGCCCAGGTCGTCCTGATTGCACTCCTGCACCACCTCCTGCCCCCCCGCCCTGTCGCCCCAGTGAAAGGAGCCTTTGCTGATTGGTTTCACAGCTTACAACCGTTCTCTGAGTTTGTATTAAAACGCGTACTAGTGAGGACTGTGTTCTGTAATTACAAACACGTGCAACTGTTGGGGTGCGAGATCCACGTGGGTTCTCGGCCTGGCGGGGGTCGGAGGGGGCTTCCTGGTGGGGGGGATGTGGAGGGAGGGGTGGGTGGCTCAGAGAGGGCGCTCCCATGGGGCCCGGCCCAGCACCCCCCACTGCTGCAGCCAGCTCTGGCCAAGCTCCATGGACACGTGGGAGAGGACGGACAGGAAAGGTCTGAGGTCCAGGACATCGGGATTCCTCCTGAGCATGTTTCTCCTCTGCCCGTTACCTTCTCAGTGGACCGTGGGATTCTCCTCCTTCCCGAGGGCTCTGTGGAGTGGGCAGCGAGGGCCGTCCCAGTCCAGCCCCATCCCTCCCCCAGAGTGCTTGTCTCCTCACCTGTCCCCACGTGCTGGACCTGGGCAGGTGGGCGTGCTCAGGCAGGCAGTCCCTGGCTGTCCACCCCGTCTGCCCCCTTCTGTCATCTGGGTGACCTGCGTGCTGACCGCTGTGGGGCTCCTTTGGTCACGTGCTGTCACATCCGCTTAGCCGGACTCGGGCACAGCGCCTGGGGAAGAGCACGATAGGCCTGGGAACAGGGCCTCCCGGAAGTTGGGGGCTCTTCAGGGGGGAGCTGCTCGGGTCCCCGAGGGAAAGGTCTCTATGGGAGTCTTCCTCATGCACGGGGGCCTCCCTGCACTGCCGGGGCATATGGGGCTCTGCTCAAGGTCAAGGATCGTGCCTCGGGGGGCCGTGTGGAAGACCCGGGGAGAACAGTGGTCAGCCCCTGACCGGGCCATGGCCAAGTACCCCAGAGGGCTTGTCCAGGGAGCCCGGGGGCTTGGAGGCAAGGGGCAGATTTCAACCTGGGCTCCCTGGTGGGGGGTGGACCACACAGATGCCACCCGCCCACACACACGGTTCCGGCCTAGCAGGTCTGGGAATGTGAATCAAACTATTTCCAGGTGGTATTGGTGCTGCTGGGGGCCAGGTAAGTTGGAGGCTGGTCTGGGGGCTGTCTTCCATGCAGTGACCCTCCGGGATGGAGCTGACAGAGGCTGGCTGGGTCCAGCATCAGGGTCAGGGCTCAGGAGGTGGGTAAGGGCGAGGTTGCAGGGACACGGCTCAGCCGACACCAATAGGATCTGAGGTGCCAGGGGGCTTGTGTGAGAGCGGACCACCCTCGCAGCAGCCCGTCAGGGTCCCCGCCTCCGCGTCCAGCCCGGCCTCAGGTCCCCGTGAGGCGCCTCCACCTGGAGAAGCCAGCGCCCGGGCCTGCCCTGCTCTGTCTGCACTGAGGCTGTGCCCTTCAGAGCCCTGCGGGGCACACAGCAGGAGGGGCAGCTCAGGGGGTGACCTGGGGGCCGGCTATCCGCCCTGTGCCCGGGGACGACACGGAGGCTGGAAAGCAGCATTTTGACGACCTTGAGTAGTTCCCAAGGCTTCCTTCCAGGATGTCCCTGATGGGTCCACGTGATGTGGCAGGTGCCGTCAAGTGTACCTTGGACGGGGTCGGTGCTAACGCAGCCCAGATCAGCTGAGCGTGAGCGCAGGGCGCCTGCCGGGCTTTATGGCTGTTGCCCGTTTACTGCCACTGCTGCAGCGTCCGAGTGACCGAGCGTTTATGATGGACCCAAGTCCACAAGCGCATCATAAATAATCAGTGTGGGACTGACCCCACCCACCTGCTGCCGGCCTGGCGGTGCCCCTGCTGGGAAGGACTGACCTGCTGCCCAAAGCGGAGAGTTCCCCATGCAGGGGGAGGTGACCTGGACCCCACAGCTGAACCCCACCGACCCGCCACCGGCCACCACAGGCTCCCAGCACCCCTGGACCTGTTTCTGGCATTTCCAGAAACAGGTCAGTCATGGCTCAGTTTTCTGACTTCTACATGCCTCTAGAACCTTGTTTGTCTACTACATGCATTTTGTCCCAATTTTACTCAAAGTCACTTGTATTTTTACTAAAGTGTAAAACCCTTGGAAAGGGCGTATGCTCTGGTCAGGCTCAACTGAGTAAGACCTCACTCTGATTTATCTATTTTATAAAATCACCATGCAGACTACCAAGTCTCCTCAGGGTGAAACATGAAAATAATAAAATTCTGAGAAGCAAAGAAAAAACATCTAGTTTCTTGGGCTTCCCTAGGTCTGAACTGCAGGTGAAGAAGCCTCTGACTCCCGTGCACCCAGATGTGTGCACAGCCAGAGAAGCCAAGGTGTGAAAGGCACGAGGGGCAGGAGTGAAAGCAGGGCACAGACGATGCCCGGGGGCCCTCAGCCCCACGGCTCTGCTCCCCTCACCGCCATAGCCCTGGTGTGTGCTGGCGCCCAGCCATGGGACGCTCACCTGTGAAGGGCACTGTAGAGCAGAGGGCTTCCCAGACCTGGCAGCTCAGAGTCCCCCAGGCGCTGGCGGGAGAATAATGACCCCCAAAGACGCTACACCCTAACCCCAGAATCCATGTCACTGGACGTGGCGAAGGGGCATTACAGGTGCAGGTGGAGTTTGTAACATCAGCTAACCTGAAGCCGGGACGTGATCCCGGATCCCCTGGGCGGACCCACTGGAAGCCCAGGGTCCCTGAACGTGGAGGAGGGAGGCTGAAGAAGACTCACGGCTGTGTTGGCTTTTTGATGGAGGAAGGGGCCACGAGTCACGGAGTGTGGCACGGAGTGGGCAACGTGCGGGCCCCGGGCTCCCCGTGCGGCTTAGGACTCGCTTTGGGGGCACTTCTGGGTTAACCCCGCTTTAATACTCAGCTCCTCTCAGGTGGGCTGTAGTGCACTTGCTTCTGTTTGCTGGGGTCTGGGCTGCCGAGGGTGAGGAGGGCCCCTCATGCATGCCTGGCCTCACCGTGGTACTTGTCAGCTGGGGGTGATTCAGCACCACGGACAGCGTTTGCGCCGCCTAGGACTGGAGCTTAGTGGGAAGTGTTCCCAGCAAGACACCAAGGACACACATGGTCTCCTTGAGTGAGGCCGTGGGGCTGGGGGCTGGAAGCAAGCCCGTGCATCCAGTGCCCAGCGCCTTAGAGCTGACCTCTGGCTGTCGGAGGAGGGCGGGTGGAGGTGAGATTGGGCTCAAGAATGGGCAGGTCTTGGCTGAAGGAAGGACCGGGTGTGAGTGAGGGTGGCCTCCCCCTGGAGGCAGTCGAAACCTGCGTGATAATCGGCCTTTTTGATCATTCCTGACACATTTGACTGAGAAAGTCTCTAAAGAATAAAAGGCAGTGCTTCTGAGCCAAGCCTGGGAAGAGGCGGCCTCGCTGCTGACTTTCTCGCCGCAGCTCCCTGGCCTTTGAGAGCGGGATGGGCCGTGCTTCTGTGACGATTCTCTGCATTGGGTGGCCCGAACATCGGTCGAGACGGACCCACGCCCCCGAGAGTCCCCATCACGTGCAGCCACACCAGACCCTCCCCGTGACTCCGGGGCTCTAGGTAAAGAAAGGGGCTTCTATGGGGCGGGGCCTCGTGGCAGAGAACGCAGTCTGCTTTTCCTTGGAGACCGGCCCTGCCTGCAAGTTCCCAAACTCGCGTGGCACGAGACCCCTCGGCTGTGGGGTGTGGCTGGGCTTTCCCAGATGCCCCCCTACCGCTGGCCTGGCTGTCTGCACCCCCGTTGTTTGCCCGTGGAGTCGCCGGGTACAGTGCCTGGCCACCCACCGCAGGCCCCAGGAGGCAGACGGTGGGCTGTCCCCCATCTGGGGAAGTGCGTGGACTGCAATGTCGGAGCTGGGCTGTGCCACGAGCTGGTCTGGAGGGCGCGACGGTGTCGGGAGCAACGACCACGGGCCTCGGGTCAGGCGAGTGTGTGCTGGCGTGGTCGGGCTCTGGCACAGGCAGGGCCCTCCCTGCCACCCCGGCCCCTCCCTCGGCCGCCCCCTCCACCGCCGTGCAGCTTCGGACGCCTGTCCTGCCGCTTCTGTCTGTGCCGGGTGAGCAGCGGGGCCACCGGGACCCACAGTGCAGGCAGGAAGGACAGGAGCGCGCAGGTGGCCCACACCCAGCCCGGGCAGGCCTTCTCCTGCCCCGAGGGGAACTGTGCTTCAGGACACAATGCCCCAAGGTGGGCATCGGACAGGGGACAGGTCCCCCCCACCTCCACTCCCGGATGCAGCGAGGCGGACGCTCGGCCACAGGGGCTGTGTTGTGTGGGGCAGCTTCACCCCATCTCTTCCCGAGACGAAGCACCCAGGGTGGATGGATGGAAAAGGCCCACGGCCGGGGACCGCTCCCTGGGGCAGCGGGGACTCGGGCAGCTGAAGCTCCGGGGCTTGGCGGAGCCTCTCGTAGGGTTTTGGCTCTGAGACAGGCCTGGGATCTGGGGCGTCGGGTTCTGGAGACAGCCACTCCGCACACCCCTAGGGGCTGCAGGGTCTGATCCGCTGGGCATCGTCAGACGCTACGCTCCCCCCGTAAGGGGGGCAGCACCGCCACCCGAGCTGAGGCACTGTGGCGAACAGGACAACGGCCTGGACAGGACAGGACAACAGCCACGAGAAGCTCTTTGAGAAACATGGCGCCATTCGTCCCGTGCCTGCCTGGTCCTCTGGGGCAGCTCTGAGCCGCCGGACAGCCGGCAGGTTGGCGGGGCCCACGCGGCTCAGAGCACAGCCTGGGGCCAAGAGCTGGCTCGAGCCGGGGCCATGTGCCCACGCGGCTCACGCTCTGACCGGCTCGGTGGCGGTTTCTAGTCTGGGACCCAGCTGGGCGTTTGCAGAGCCCATCCCCACGGCGCTGGGGAAGTGTGGCTTGAAGCCACGTCCCTGTGGGAGGGGCTTCAGGGACCTGCGAAGTCACCGGAGTCTGGAAACTGCTCCTGTCCTCCCGCCACCGACTGAGGCCCTTGCCCAAGGTCACTGGGGCTGCTGAAATCGGCACCGTTGCCCCCGGGGACATCGGGGATCTGGGGTCTCAGAGCACAAACAGCCCACGTGGCCCTTAGGGCACGAATGTCCACCATGAGGGCCCCCTGGGCCCCGGAAGGCACCAGGGAAGGACCAGGCCGGGTCTGAGGTGGCCCCGGTGCTCCCGGACCCCCACCCAGAGACCTACGTGTTGGGGGTTCCAGGCCTTGCAGCCCGGGGTGAGCTGGCCAGGAGGGCAATGTAGGCCACAAAGGTGGTCGGCAGCAGCAGGGGGCTGACAGCCTTCCAGGTCACCTGCCAGTAGAGGCCGGGCCGCGCCCAGTCATCCACGCTATGTCGTCACAGAACCTGCCACAGAGACACTCAGATCTGCCACGGGCTCAGATCCCCCAGCCGCTCGACCAGTAGCCTCTGTCCTGCCACAAAGATGGAGCCCATGGGGCTGCCCCACTTCCACTCTGACCTTTGCCCCACATCTTCCTGAGTGGCCCCCAGACCAGGCAAACTTCTGGGGTCCTGATGAAGACCCAACCCCCAGGCCAATGTGTGGGGAAGGCCAGAGGGGCAGGTCAGCCTGGCCCAGGGAACGGCGGGACCCGTGGATTTGGCGCTGGGGGCGGGGAGCTCCGGCTCTGTGAGGGGTAGAGAGCCCTCCGCTGGCCCGCTGTGGGAGGGAAGGCGGCACCTGACCCGGGCCCCCAGGATGAGGACAGAGGCCCAGGATGTGCAGCAACCACTGCAGACCCAGGAGAAGGTATCAGCCACCCAGGAGCCGACCCTCCTGGGGCCTCTCCCCTTCCTGTTCCCCCCCCACCAGCCCACTCCTCACGGCTCCTGAGGGTCCCCTTCTGAGACCCACAACCCGTTGAGTCCAGGGCCTCACTGTTCCCCCCTCATCACCACGGACCACTGCCTCTTACTCCGGTGTCTCGAGGCGGGCAGCATCCCTCCGGGGACAAGCCCGCTGTCCCAGTGCCCACAGAGCAGCATGGAGGCCCTGGCATTTGGGGCCTGTCAGGATCTCCTAAAGGTACAACGTCCAGGGTCATCTGGGCAGGGCTACGGTCAGGGTGACAGGTGTGAGTCCAGACGTGAGTGGCCATGGAGTGACAGATGTGAGGGCAGGTGTGAGTGACAGGTGCGCCACAGGCCCGGGCCAGGTGTGAATGGGCAGGACCAGTGTGGGGCCTCCTCAGAGGCCTCCAGGATGGCGGGGCTTGGAACCCTGGGTGGGGCCTCCTGGTGCCCTAGTGTCCACCTGTCCTTGGACTTTAGGAGTCCCCCCGCATGGCTGGGGACTGGTCGTTTTGTCACTAGCGTCCCCACAGCCCAGCGAGTGGGTCCCAGGGGTGCATCTGCGGACAGGTTTGTTTAGGGAGGGAACTCAGATGGTCCGTGTCATCCCGCAGCTGTCCAGGAGACCGGCTGCCCGATGCCCACATGTGTGTACTTGGGGACGCTTGGAGCAGAGGGGCGGGACCCCTGGAAGCTGACTCACCGTTTCATCCCATAAACATAAATGACACCAGCCACCTCGGAGAACGGGAAGAGGTTCAGGTCCAGGGAAGCGACGTAGCGGTCAAAGATCTCGAGCCAGTAGTTTCCCGCCCGCAGCGTGAAGCAGGCGGGCCAGCCCTGGACCCAACCCCCATGTTCAGGCATCTCCCTTTGTCCACTCCCCCCAGCATGTCCCCCTGCACCTACGGAGCTGGAGGACGTGCTCGGATGGAGTGGCCTCCGTGGGCAGTGTGGGACGGAGTCCCCTCCCTGACCCTCAGCTCCCCTGTGACGATCCTTGAGGCACTGAGCCAGAGCTGCGGGGTCAGGGCCCTCGTGCCCTCATGGACATCGGGCAGAGTGGACAGAGGGTAGAGGCAGCAGGGCAGTGAGGACAGGCCCTGCAGGGAGGCCTGGCTGTCCACTCACCTGTCAGGGCCTCCTTGGGGACCCATCTGGGCGTGGCGTTCAAGTCCAAGGGTGGTGTGACGACGCTTTCCATGTTCCTGAGCGTGGACGTCAGGCCCAGGCTGAACAGCATCCCTGAGAAGAACACGGCCCAGACGGGGGCCCCCGGCATGTGGAGGCGCCTCCGTGACGACGATGGAGGCCAGGCCTGTGCCCGGGGCGCTCTGCAACGCAGCGCATCCACACCGGGGCACGCGTGCGCACCAACCCCCTCCTGAGTCAGGCTGTGTTATAACAAACTACAGGTGCACCTCTGAAGGAAGGGGACCTGTGCCCCTAAATCCCCTGCAGCAGGTGCCGTGGTGCCTGGGGGCCTTGGGCTCAGGAGCCCATCCGACCGCTGTCCCGAGGTCCTGCCCCCTGACTGCCCCCGGCCTGCTGTCCCTGTCCCCGCATCAGCTGGCCCCGTGCGTGTCTCCTCCAGACACAGCCTGGCTCCGTGGCTACGCTCAGGCCCCTCTCCCTGGGCTCTGGGCGCCCACAACTCCCACTCTCGGGTCAGCCTGGATCCCCGCCTGCTGGGCAGGGCCCGTTGGACCTGCTGCGTTTAGGCCGTGGGGTTTTCTAGGAGCTCAGAGAAGCGGGTCACAGGGTCAGCCCCGATCCCTTCACTGCTGACCCCGGCTCAACGCCTGCAGCCACCTGCAGCCTGGCCACAGCCCCTGGGGTACCTTATCCAGGAAGTCCTCCAGGCAGCAGGCCTCCAGGGGGAGCCCGCCACCCGCTCGGGCCAGGTGGAGTGAAGGCACGCGAGGGCAGCCGCGTGGTCCTCCCTGGAGATGCTCTGGTTGGGGAGACTGAAGGCGTTGATGAGACAGAGGATGTTTCTGCAGGGTGGCAGGTGGGGGGAGCAGATGCCCTAGGGGCGGGCCCTGGGAGGCCCGGCCTCATGCACAAACGGGGCACAGAGCCTGCAGCCTCGGGGCCCGGATACAAATGGACCTGCTGCTCCCTGCCTCCCCGACTCGAGGGCCCGATGGCCCTGGGGGTGGCGCTCCTAGAGCTGCTGCGGTGGGGCTGCGGGGGGGCAGCTCTTCTCGTGCCTCCACGTCTGTCTCAGGGCTCGAGGCTCAGACTCCGCGGGGCTTCCACGTTTGCGAATTCTCCTGCTCGCTAGAAGGAACTTGTCACCTTGCATCCAGTCCCCACACCATCCCGAGGGCATTTGCGGACGTGTCCAGAGTGGCTGACGCGCCCGTTCCCGCCAGGCCCCCGGGACACTCTGCCCTCTCATCCGCAGAGCTGTAGACAAGCCTCTCCCAGGCTGGCTGCGACTGCGGTTTTCGCATTTTTGTCGGTGATTTTGCTGTTTAAGTGCTGTCCAGTGTCCCAGGTGCAACAAGGAGACGGGGATGAGCTGCTGTCCCGCGGGGGTGACGCTGCAGCCTCTCCGGAACATTCCAAGAGGTGCACTTGCTCAGCAGTGCCCGGAGCACCTGGCGGCTGCCCTTCATCCCCCAGCGCAGCCGAGCAGGGTCAGGACAGGCATCCCCCCACGCTCTGCTGACACGGCCACCGTTCCGCTGGCCGTCCGGGGCCGTGGGGACGTTTAGCAGTGCCCAAAGGGCAGGCTTGTGCAGCTCTGACGGGCTCCAACCGGTAAACCATATCTGGAGGCCACCAGGCCGTCCGTCTAACGTGGTAACTTCAAGGGTGGGGGCATCCTAACAGCGTCAGCTCCCGGGGCTGTTGTGACAAACGACCTCAGCCTGGGGAGTCTTAAAATAACAGGGATTCATCCTTTCCCAGCTCTGCAGCCAGCCGTCCAAGATCAAGGTGTGGGCAGGACCGCGCTCCCTCCGGAGGCTACAGGAGACAGTCCTTCCTGCCTCTTCTAGCCCCTGGGGCCCAGGTGTCGCCGGGCTTGTGGCCACGTCCCTCCAGCCTCTGCCTCTGTGGTCACCCGGCCTTCTCCTCCGTGTCTGTGTGTCCCCCTCCTGTCTCTTATCAGGACACCAGCCATTGGATTGGGGACCCACCCTGTCCAGGACAACCTCACCTTAACCAATCATCTCTGCAAGGACCCTGCTTCCGGGTCAGGTCCCATCCCAGGTTCTGGGTGGACCCTCCACCCCACTGCTCTGGGGAAACAGAAGGTCATCTGGGGGATCCCCACGTGGGGGCTGAGCTCGGGACCGCCTCGCCCCAGAGCCCGAGGGCACCGTGCTCACCCGTCCAGTCAGCGCCCGTGGTCGCTGGCCGCCTTGAACCCCAGGACAGAGAAGACAGTAATGGGCGCACAGAGGGAGGTCATGCCGTTGACCAGGGCGAAGGTCACCGCGTCCCTCTTACAGTTGTTCCTGGGCAGACACGCGTGTCATCAGGGCCCCCGGGGGCCGCCTGTGCTCGACCTGGAGCACGGTGCGCTGCTGTGCTCTGAGGACAGCTCAGACCCTTCCCCGCCGACACCCTCCCTGCATCTTCAGGGACTTTCATGGCTCACACTCACCCCGTGGTCCCCACCCCCTCTCCTGCCGCCCCCCCCCACGCCTGTCCCCACGGACAGCCACCTGGAGGTAGGTTTAAGCTCATCACTGCCGCCCCGAGTGGCTTTTGGCCCGCAGTCGTGCCTGGTGCCACGGCCAGTCCATCCATAAAAGGGCGTGGGCCTGGCGTCTATTTTAAGTAACAAGGAGGTGGACACAGGCAGTATTTCTGCTTTTATGGCCACATGTGTCACACACAGGCAGCCCCCTGTTATGGCCTTGTTCCGGGGTTTGATGACCCAGGTTCTCTTCCTGCAGCCGCTCCGGAACTTGCTGGAAGCTGCCCCAGAGGGCCCCAACCTCCCGGCCCTTAGGGGGTGACTCAGTAATTACCAGATCTTGACAATCTGTTCTTATCAGAAGCTCACACCAGATCACTCTCCATCCCCGGCAGGAGGTCACGGCAAAGAAGTGCTTGGTGTGTCTCTCTGAAGCCTGGCTCCCTGCCCCCAGCCCGGCCCTACCTGGGCGGGTTGTAACTTGCAAAAGTGATGTTTCCTCCGAAGGCCAGGGACAGAGAAAAGAATATCTGGGTGGCTGCATCCAGCCACACCCGGGGGCTCTGCAGGACCTGCATCTGCAAGGAGATAGGGGCCCGAGATCAGACAAGCTGCCCTGGCCCAGTGCCTCCTGTTCTGGAATGTTCCCAGCATCCCTGGGACTACTCCCACGAGCAGTGCCACCTACTCAGGCCCCAAGAAGAGTTTGGGACCGCACACGAGGAGCAGTTGACATGGCCAACTCCGGCTGCCTGTTCGTGATGTGTAATGGCCCCCCGGGTCCCAGCCACACGAGACGTGTGGCCCTGAGCGCTAGGGGCACCGCCCTCTCGGGGCTGGGAGTCAAGGCTGAGCAGCTCGGACTCAGGGTGTTTGTACTGCTCCCCTCAGGCCCGGGGTTTTGAGGACTTGAGGGCCAGGTGGGGCCCCCGTGCACACAGTGCCTGATGTTTCTGCTGGTAGACCGGGCAAACCTCCACCTGCTTGCGTACCAGGGGCCTGTCCCTCCCCCGGGCAGGGCTCTGCCTGGGAGGCTGCGGGATGAGCCAGGCAGCCCCTGGGGTCCCGGGGATGCTGCGGCCCCGGAGACTGTGGAATGGCCCAGTGGTCCTCGCCTGGTGGGGCTGCACTGCTGGACGAGGGCCCCAGGGGTGGGACGTGTGGGTCCCCAGCCGGCCTCCCCCCTGAACCCCCATTTCATAGCGGTCCCCGTGTTCCAGACCGAGTCCTCCTCTGCTCCCTCCCCTCCAAACCTGACCCCTGGGATCCCAGGCTGCCCCTCCTTGTGACCTCACCTCTGCTCCCACAGCCAGGGGTTGGGACGAGCTGGGCTGGGCAGGGGACCCGGCTCGCATGCTTCCAGAGCCCGGACCCCTGGGGGCTTGGATTCGGGACCCACTTAACGTCGGGCGCAAATAGGTAGGTCCGTCCTTCCGTCACCCCAGGCAGGGGGAGTCCTCTGATGAGGAAAACCGAGAGGAGCAGGTGCGGGAACAAGGCCATGAAAAAAATTGCCTGAAAAAGGCAGGCTGTTAGTCTTCTCAGTGTGTCTGTTCCGCGTGAACCCTCGAGAGGGGTGGGTGTACCAAGATGCTTGGGTCCACTGCCACGTCACCCGTGGGATCCGGGAGGGGATGGTGGGGTGTGAGCTCCAGTCAAGCTTGCGGCGTTTGGGGCCCCCCCGAAGCCCATACGTGGACCCCGCTGAGGAGGGCGATGGCCTCCCCAGGGTGGGCGGACTCCCCCTCGCCCACAGTCAGGCCCCTCTTCCTTCCACGCTGAGGCCCCCAGCTGGCCACTTCTCAGGGTCCATGGGGCCACACACCTGCCCACACCTTCTCCCGCAGAAGGACCAGCCCCCAATTCTTTCAGGGTTGAGGAGGGGTCTGCACACACGGCATCTGCAAAAATTAAATCTGCGAGTGGATGCCCTTCCCTCCTGACCCCCAGACCCCAGTGTAGACACTGGGGAGCTACCCAGTGCATCTTCAGGGACTTTCATGGCAGGATTATTCGGGGTTTCCGGCTGGCTTGTTGTGACTGATGGCTGCTTCCAAAATTCCAGTCCCCTCAAGCTTGGAGCCCCTCACGTGAGAGTAACCATCACCCTCACGTGGTAACCGAGAAAAAGCACAGGCACACATGCACACTCGGACCTGCAAACCTCCATAATCACGGATCGGGAGACCTGGTAGAAATGCACAGGATTTCGTCACAGTCATTTAAAGGACAGACATATAAAATATTAGACTTATCCAAGCCCAGAAGGAAGAGAGTGTGGGAAGCCCTGTGCTAGGTGCAATTTGAAAGGCAGGCTTGGGGGCTTAGGCTCAGGCTCCCCTGGTCCTTATTGCATGGAGACCAGGTAACTATCAATAGGTTTTTTCTCATTGTCTACATCTCTTTAAAAGATAACCCACGGTGTGAAACAAAAACGCTGAGATGCAGGAGTTTCCTGGCGGTCTAGTGGTTAGACTTGGCACTTTGGTCATGGAACTAAGATCCCACAAGCCGTGCAGTGCAGCCAAAAAAAAAAAAAAAAAAAAAGTGCTGAGAATGCATTTGCTGTTTATAACACATCGCAAGTCAGATGCATGACAACAGTGTGAACGCCGTGGGGAGGGAGGGTGATGCTGAGAGCTTCCTCTGTGCGGTGGTACAGCATTGCCTGGAGACAGACCATGATGCTACAACCCCTAATTCAACCACCAAGTTGCTACTGATGAGCAAAGCACATAGAGTGGGATCAAAAACTACTCAGCAAAAGAGTGAAACAGGAGCAAAGAACAGAGGGGACAAGCAGAAAAGAAGTACGAGATGACAAGCTAAACCAAACCAGATAAAAAAAGGCAGGGGGGCTTCCCCGGTGGCGCAGTGGTTAAGAATCCGCCTGCCAGTGCAGGGGACACGGGTTCGTGCCCTGGTCTGGGAAGATCCCACATGCCGCGGAGCAACTAAACCCGTGAGCCACAACTACTGAGCCTGTGCGCCACAACTACTCAAGCCCACGCACCTAGAGCCCGTGCTCCGCAACAAGAGAAGCCCCCGCAACGAGAGGCCCACGCACCGCAAGGAAGAGTAGCCCCCACTCGCGGCAACTAGAGAAAGCCCGCGCACAGCAACGAAGACCCAACGCAGCCAAGAAAAAAGAAAAAAAAAAAAAGGCAGGGATTGTCAGACTGGATAAAAAACAAGGCCAACCATATGCTGTCTACAAGAATGACACCTCAAACAAAAAGGCCCAAAGAGGTGAAAAGAAAGAAATTGGAAAAAGTGCACTATGTTGATTTAGTCAGCAAAGGCTGGAACAGCTCCTCTAATATCCCAGTGCACTTGGAGCCGACAATCGCCAGGCTGAGGAGCTTCACCTCATGGTGACAAAGGCATCAGTCCTCCGGGGACACGTGACAGTGCTGAAGTTGCGACCCTCCTCGCCGAGCCTCTGAACCCCAGAGGCCAGCAATGATGGAAATGGGGAGGGGTCCTCTGGGGCTGGTGGGAGCGGGGTCTGGCCTGTGGGCTCTCACCTTCCCAGTACTCTCAGTGCCCCTGATGACGCACGGGTACGCCATGGCCCAGGAGGCCGTCAAGCAGACCAGCAGCCAGCACCGGACAGAGCCACTGTCGTTGGTGTCGGCTGTGATGTTCAGTGTCTGCCGGTACCGGAAGAGGCTCACAGCGCTGCTGTCCCGGCATTCCAGCACAAAGCCTGGAGCCAGCCCGTGCAGTCATGGGCTGGCCATAGACTGCAGATGACCTGGGCACACTGGGCGGGACCGCTGCCACCCTGAGTGAGGGGCAGGGAGGCTGACTGCCAGTGGCCTCTGTGGCCGACACGAGGAGCCTCCCAGCCCAGCCCTTTGGCCTGAGCACCCAGGGCCAGCCTTGTCCAGCGCGTGCCAAGTACAAGTTTCTATCAGCTAGAGGCAGGAAGGGAAAGAGATCAACCCAGCTTTACGAGCGAACTTGAAAACCATGACTGTTTCCCACATCTGGGAGGTGTCCCCAGATGACGCCCTTGGCTGGGGTCTCCACCTAAGGACTTAGTTCAGGGAGCGCAGCAGCCTGTGCCTCTCCCTCCTGTCACCGAGCACACGAGCAGCTGCGAGGGCCTGGGTGCTCCTCAGTGAAGGAACACGGCATCCGGGTCCCTGGGTCCCGCACTGAGCAGGCAACAGCAGGGGTAACGAGACCCAGTCTCAAGGTGCCAGCCGAGGCTGGGCTTCCTCCCCGAGAGCAGTGCCCGTGTGGTTGAGGTCCGGCGGGCAGGCGCTCCAGTGCAGCGGGTTGGGAGGAGTTGGGGAGGTGCCACAGCACCCATGCCAGGACCGTGTCGCAGTGCATGCTGACCAGGACAGATGTGACGAAGCCGCCGAGCCCTGCGGGCACCAGCCACGGTCAGCGTCCCCCTCCTGGCTGCCCCGTTGCAGACCGTCCTCAAGCACATCCCACATTCCTGCTCCCTACATCGCCCCAAAGGGCTCCCACTGTCTGCCCGCTGGCCTGCAGCTGGCTGCGTCCGCCCGCGGGCAACCCGTCACCTTCCCGGCCATGTGGTGCTCTCCGGGCTGGGCCGCGTTTGGCTCTCCACCAGCCTCAGGCTGCTTCCAGGTGGGGCTTTCACATGGCCTGCAGCCACCAGGTGTGTCACAGTCCTGGACGGTGATGCTCGGATCCCTTAGTGCAGCACCCACCTCGAGGGCACACGGGGAGCTGGGTCTGCCCTCCGCCTGGTCTCCCCTGGCGCCTGAGCTTCTGGGATAGGCAGGCTCCGCGCTCTGCATGCATGAGCTGGGCGATACGGGACAGCCTGCTGCTGCGCCGGGGCCGGCCCGCCGCCTCTGTCACCACACCCGGCCTCCAAGTCCTCCCACAGGGATGCCGCTGCCCAGGCCCCTGCATCTTTACATCAGGGCACCTCCCGTGTCTGCAGGTTCAAAACCACTGGATATACACTGGAGTGATGATCAAACACCCATGAAACATGCATGGCACACGTAAATGCAGCCCGCCCCGCTGCCCCCAGCAGCTGCGGGCAGGGATCAGAGAGAGGTGCGTTCCCTCTCCGCCCAGGTAGGGTGAGATGACCATCCACACCCTGAGGCTGCCCCTGCGCAGGCGCTGGCCGACGGCAAGCTCGATGTGGAAGCAGGCTGCCCTCGAAGGCTGGGCGATGAGGTAGGGGATGAGGAAGGCTCCTGAAAAGACGCGGTGGTCAGCCAGTGGCGCCGTCTGCCCGGCCAGGCCTCGGGCCGGAAGACGACACAGGGGTGAGGGAGAAGCGCTCGTGGCTGCCCCAGGGGAGGATAGGGGACCCCCATGTCAGGGGGTTGCCATTGTTTTAAATGACTTGGTGTCACCCCACCATCTGGTGCTTTATTGGCGGTTTTCATCCACGGACAGGCTGCGTTGTTCTCCCTGAGGCCCTGTGACCCCTGGTTCCAGGGCTCCTGAGTCGGGGAGCCGGTCTGCTCACGTGGAGCCTCGGAGTAGGAGACACCCCAGACGGTCTCCCAAGCTTCGCCCTGAGTTGGCGCAGGAAACTGTCTCTCCAACCCTTCACCCCAGTCCAGACGCTGGGAGGTGGACCCAGCGGCGGCGGGAGAGGTCGCCGAGGCCCCCAGGACGGAGCACGTACTGACCGATGCCAGAGCCCGAGGGAAGGGCAGGCAGAGATGGCGGAGGCCCTCCTGCACCGCGAGCCCCCGTGGACAAAGTGGGTGCCGCGAGGTGGCAGGGCCTGGCCTCCCCGAACCCACAGACCTGCCAGGCCTGCTGGGGAGACCCCGGTTCCCCACTGGATGCTCCCACGCTGTCGGGAGGGCCACTAACTCCCCAGCACGGAGTCGGCGATGTCGGCGTCTCACCTGAGGGCCCTTCCCTCCGGATCTCCACCAGCCGCGCGCTTTGGACCAGCATGTGTGGGCACGTCGATGCTCCAGGACCGACGGCAGCTGCCCCCCGCCCCCCACACAGGTCCAGGTGACCCCACGGAGCAGCTCAGCGTTAGCCCCTGGCCAACGAGGTCGGTCGGCTGCGTCCTCCCCACACTGTCTGCAGGAAGCTTGGATTCAGCTTCCAAGAGCCACTTGCACGCACCACAGGCCCCTGTGTTCTTCACCAGCACAGCCTCCATCTGGCTTTTCGTGTCACAATCCGGTGTTTGGAGGCTGAGTTGGGGCCCTGGAGGGAGCAGGTGGCCACGGAGCCCTCAGCCCGTGTTGGCCTCTGACAGGACTCCAGGGCCAGCGCTTGGGGCAAACAGTGCTTATTGGTGTCTTCTACGTAGCAGCCGAAAGGCAAAGCCGCATTAAAGGAGAAAGTTAAATTCTGGAGGGACTCAGCCTCGGTGGAGGCGCCGGATGCCCCAGGGATGCGAGGGCATCTGTGGGCTGGGACTCGGAGCTAGAGGGGTGTGGACAAAACCCAGGTCACCCAGGGAGCCCCTGGGGGGAGGGGCCGGTCACAGGGCCGGGGCCCGGGGCACAGACAGAGGGCCCCTCCTCCCTGCCCGCCCCGTCTCCATGCTGCACTGTGGGGTCTCCTGCAGGCGGGCCTCCCAGCCACCCTTAGGCCTCGGGACGCATGGCTGCAGCGTGGCGAGGACCGACGTGGAATGGCCACACGGGCAGGGACTGAGTCCGAGGTATGTGACCCACTGTCTAGGAAGGGCTGTAGCCTCCGGGCTAATCAGACCTTGGCCCCCTTCCCCCTCCCCCCTGCTCTGAGGGGAAAACCCCAGCCGGACGAGCCCAGGTGGGGGCCTTAGGGGCGGCTGAGGTCAGCATGACTGGGCCCACCCAAAGGAAGTATCCAGGGAGGGCGGGGGGTTCTCCTGTGGCTGAGTCGCCACGCTGGGCAGAGAAGAGAACAAGAGGCATTTCTGTGACCACGTGGTGAGCAGCGTCCACCCTGTGCGTCAGATGCATCTCAACCCCCACGGGGCTGCCATGGGGACAGGAACTCAGACCGCAAACCAGGCTGGGGCGCTGGGGCGGGGCGCAGAGGGCTCCGCGTCCAGCGCGGGCGCCTGCCTCCCTCAAGTCACACAGTAAGTTCACTTCTGCTGGGTCTGAAGGGGGGAGGAGAGCTGCTCCACCATCGGGTGGACCTCAGCGCAGGGCTCACAAGAGCCGTGATGCCGGGATGAAGTAAGACAAGCATATTTGGTCCTCATCCCGAAAAGAAATGCATTTCGGAGCTCAGAGCTCCCAAGACCCTCAGCACCTCGCGGGTGACGGGAGAGAGAAGCGGCATCTGTGGTCCGTGATAAGCCCTTTAGCCTTACCTGGGCTCGTGCCAATGAGGTATTAACCCCTGGAGGATGGAGCTGGTGGCCAGAGGCCCTGACCACGCCCACCAGGGAGACCGAGTTAATCACCAGTCAGTGGCCAGTGGTTCCATCAGGAACCCTGCCCCGCGGGGCTTCTGGGTGGGTGACACTCAAGGCTCAGGAGGGTGGCCCCTGCGAGGGGTCTCCGTGCCCCTCCCTGCGCCTCAGCCCTTCACGTCTCTTCCATGTGGCGATTCTGAGTTGTGTGCTTTATAATAAACCTGTAAGCCTGTGTTTTCCTGAGTCCTGGGAGCCATTCTAGCAAATTATTGAGGCTTAGGAGGGGTCGTGGGACCCCTTGAATTTGTAGCCAAGTTGGAAAGAAGCTGTGGGTGACTTGGGGACCCGCTACTCCAGATTGGCGTCTGAGGGGGGCATCTTGTGGGTGAGCCCTTGGCCTGTGGGGTCAGGGTGGGGTTAGGTCGTGGGGCACCCCGTCGGTGTCCACTGAGAACCGGAGACGCGGTCGGTGTGGGGAAAACCTCACACATTTGGTGCCACAGCCTTGAGAGCAGAAGGGGCACCAAAGAGCTGGTGACGCGGAGCACGCAGCCCCATCGGGGGGTGCACGGCAGCCCACTGGCGGATCTCGGAGAGCCCCACCCTCACCCCACGCTCCACCAGCCTGGGGGTGCTGGGTGCAGCACATACCAGGCCAACCCGCTAAGAAACTGTGGAGAAAAAGAAGGTTCCGGTCGGAACAGCAGCTATAGCCCGGGTTGCCCAAGATCTTTATGGAGAGAATCACACGAGGACAGAAAGGAGAGTGACACGCTGTGTGTGTGTGCGTGTGTGGAGGGGTGACACGTTGCTGGGGGGACTGCTTCCCAAACCCACCTAGACAGTCGACACCAGGCCAGACACCCGGGCTGGTGCCTCCGTGTCTCTGGTTCACACAGAAGAGTGACGGCAAAGGCGTCTGAAGGAAGCGCAAGCCGAGAGGATCACTGCTGGACACCAGGGCTCCTTAAAAACCCGCACGACTTAACCCTGCGCCGCTTCCGGTGCCAGAGTCCGCAGGCCTCCAGGGACACAAAGTCCGGGCGGGACAGGGCAGCGCAGAAATCGCAGCCTCTCGATGGGGGACCACATCCGTGTGTCTCCCTGGGGTGAACCCTGAGCCGCAGCCCATGTCGGAGCCCCGCGGTCGGCGACCTGAGTCACCGCCGGGCCTTTGTGCTTCTACCGTCATCTGACTTAAAGAACAGCTCACTGCGGAGTGGTGTCTATGTGACAGAATCCCTGTCCATCTCCGTCTAGATGTTCTGCTCAATTCTGTCACGACGTTGCCTGACGTTTCCAGAGCGGGGGCAGAATATTGGGGTGGGGAGTCTGTGCAAATCAGGGTGAGGCCGCGTCTACTTGTTGCGTCTCTCATCTTGAAAGTCAGCAGAGGTGGTCAGGACAGGCAAAAAAAGGGCCTCTCGCAGCGTGAGAAACTTAAGTATTTCATGACGTTGCATCGAGAGCTTCCACCTCTGAAAACAGAGGCGGCAGAAGTGTTTCAAAGCCCCGGGCGCGGCTGGGGACCGGGCTGCCCTGGCCGCGGGCACGGCCGCCCCGAAGGCCTCACTGTCTGGACCGCGGGGAGACGGACCTCGCAGGAAAGGGCTTCCCAGGCCCCCGGCTCCGGCAGCTCTGAACAGTGAGTAAGATTGTGGGCAGTGAAACGTTTGCAGACGTCAGATCCCCCGCGTATGGAGCGTCGCCGAGGCCCTGACCTGACGCAAAGGGCGCCGAGAGGCCACCGCGAGCCCCGGGTCGGGTCTGCCGCCTGTGCTCCTGCAGTTCCCGAGGGGCCCGTGTCAGAGGGGCGCTGGCCAGCAGACCCGGGGCCCAGGCGCCCGCCCGACCCCAAACCGCGGAGGCTCTGGCATCTCTGGGGCAGCTGTTACAGGGGTACCTGCACTTTCAAAATTCCTGCATGCCCTGTATCGTCTCACAATCAGGAAACAAAGACTTTATAAAGACGCAGCGTCCTTATGACCAGGAAGCTCGGCAGGCAGCGCTCACGTGAGGTCTGCTTGCCCACCGTCCACTGCCCCCCCATCTCGCGAGGAGGGCTGGCTGTCCACCCCTGAAAGGACAAGGATGCCTCCCCGCGACCAGAAGATGGGACGTGAGTTGTCACCAGCTCAGCCTTTCCCGTCTCCTGGGCCCTGAAAGAGACACTCCCCAAATTTCCCACCAGAGACCAACTCTTGCGGGAAGGTCTGCAGGTGCTGGGGAACCGCCGGTCTCGCAGGGGCAGAGGAGCCTCAGTTCAGAACCCACATGAGGACGAGCCTGCCTGAAAAACCCCCGCCCTGAACCTGAGGACAAAACGGGCCACGTCCGCCCCCGAAGGCAGTGGTCTGGCCAGCCTGCGGCCTCATGTCCCCAAGAGCAAGCGTGACACCAAGAGAAGGCCCTCGAGCGAGAAGCAGCCCAGCTGAGCCGCTCCGGCTCCAGCCCATGGGCTTCACTGCTGGGAGCCCGAGCAAACCCCTGGGCTCGCGCTCTGGGGCGCTGTCAGCAAGGCCGCAGCGCCACAGAGGGGGCCTGGGCCCCGACCGCCGCAAGCCCAGACGGGCAGCCTAGTGAACAGCACCGCAAACCTGAGGCCACTGGGCCTCAGAGGGACAAATCCCCCGGGGGCGGCAGGTCCCTAACACCCTGGAGGCCGCGGGTGGGGACGGATGTGGAGAGTGCGCGGCTCACCTCCCCCGTAGGTCTGGCACAGGTACAGGGACCTCCAGAGGTTGCTCAGGCCCACGGCAAACCCGACGCAGCTCAGGAGGCACTGGAGCTTGTTGTGCCACTTGGGCCACTCATCCCCACCAGCATCCACAGGTGGGTCCGGCTCCAGGGTGCCCTCCATGCCCACCACCTGCTCCTGGCCGCAGCCCGGGACCTCCACTGGGGATGGGAAGCCGCAAGCTGTCTCCCCTGCGGGTGTGATTTTTCATGATTTAAAGGAAAACCAGTGGAGCCGGTTAATTGGTAACAACCCCCCGCCCGCCACGGCCGCGTGCCCTGCCCCCCGCTGGCTCCCGCCCGATGCCAGCAGCCCACAGTTGCTGCCACCACCGACACGAGAGCCTCAAGGATTCCAAGGCTGGGGCACATTTAGTTGTTTTTATAAAATTTTACTTTTAATTAACTTCGTGAGATAATTGCAGACTTGCACGTTGCCGTGAGGAGTAGTACCAAGTGCCCACGCTCCCAGCCCCCCGGTGGAGACGTCCTGCAAACATCTCGCCAACGTCACAGCGGACACGTCCGTCCCCGAGGGTCCCTCTGTCCCCTGTGTGGCCGCACCCCTGGCAGCCTGCATCTGCGCTGCGTCGCTGTAGATGTGTCATCTCAAGCACACTGTGTAAACCGTGTGGCCACGGGGTTGGCCTCAGTCTCTGGAGACCCACCAGGTGAGCCGTAGTACGGCCATGGGGCTCCGTGTCCGCTGCGCGCGGAGCGGGTGGGGCTGTGAGTGATGGCTGAGATGAGCACCTGCACACGGCTTTGTGCGGACGCGGGGCAAGTGCCCGGCAGGACTGCCGGGCCTGGGGCCGTGTTTATTTTTAAGCCACATTTATCTTCCAAAGAGATTTCCAAACTTCTCAAATTGTCTGAACGTGAACTTTCCCTCTGGTTCCCAATGTTCCTGTTCTGAGGATGCCCAGGAAAGTTCCAGAAGATCAGCCCTCCCCTCTGCATCCGCTGGCACCCCCGTGCCCAGGAATCCGTGCTGGGCGTGAGCCCACCATTAGCCACAGGGGTCGTGGAGGGAGTGGGGGCCTGGATCCTCAAGGGGCTCCCTGGGGTGGGAGGGTGACACCAGGGCGCAGGGGAGGGGGATTGGCCAGGCTGGGGGGACACGTGAGCCCTCGCCTTAGCTCGGAGCACCTCCCGCCTGCGGGCTGGAGAGGTAGTGAGCTGTCACGGCGGATTCAGCCTAGGCCTCCCACTGGGGGCTCCGTGGACGCGTTCACCCCCGATCCAGCAGACGCTTCCGCTAGGACGGGCCCGGGCCCTACATCCATCATCTCATGTTTCCTGGAGGGCGGGCTTACAGCCGGGCAGCCGATGCCAAACATGGGGGTCCCGGAAACGCAGGCCCCAGGGGACACGTTTTTTAGACATCCCTTTTTGGGTGAGAGGAAAAAGTGAGAAAAGGGAGAATCAGAGAAAATGGAAAGCAGTGGCGGGAGGGGGAGGGCAGGCCCAGTCCCGAGTGACCCACACAGGCCTTCCCCTCTGTGCCTCCAGCTCCCTTTTTCCCCTGTCCCCCCAACAGTGACCCGGCCAGCAGCTCCCATATCCTGAGGTCAAGGCGCACCCACCCCTGCACTCCACCGGGCACCTTGGGTAATGGGGGCTCCGTGGGCGCAGCAGAAGCACAGTCCGGCCCCGTCCCCTCGAGGCTGGGGCTCCGCTGCTTGCGCGTCCTCTGCATTTAGACAGCATTTAGGCCAAGAGTGTGAAAGGGAGAGATTTATTCAGACAGATGCGCGATGCCCACAAAGCCCGGATTTCTAACAATTTGCGAAATGTGAAGTCTGAAGGAAGCCCTCACCAAGCCACAGAGAGACGGACGGACCAACCCGGCCAGGTGACGCCTGCGAGCGTGTCCCCCTCCATGCCCCGGGGCAGGAGGTAGGGGCGTGTGTCCAGGGGGTCCGCAGCAGAGCTGTCCCGGAGGAGGGTCGGAACGCTCTGGGGAGCAGGGAGGTGGGGTCCTGCGGAAGCTGGCGGGGGGTCTCCAAGTGGGAGGGACATGGCGCTGGGACCCACTCCCACTCGGGTCTCCCATCCTGCACCAAGAATCCTCAGAAGGTCCAGTTTAACTTAAACTTCCAGATTTTTCCATGGAAAGTGGAGGCGACCAGTTCTTGGAAACAAATACCCAAGTGCCACGTGACCTGGGCTGAGAATGGGTGTCCCATCCCGTCCCCGACTGGGAGAGAGGAGCTGACGCCGGCCTTCGCCGAGCGACACCGGGTGGACGGCCCTCCGGGCCCTCGTGGCTCCCCTGCCGTTGCTCGGGATGCGTGCACCGTCCTCCACCTCGGTGGCCAAGGCTGAGTTAGTTACCCTGTAACTCGCCTTTTCCAACGCCTGGCTAAATGTTCACGCAGTTACCGTCCTCTCAAGAAAACACGAAGGGGGGTTTTCTGCCCCAAATCGCCCAAGCTGAGTTTTATTAACTATTCGTCTGTTCATGGCGTCCAGATGCAGTGATTAAGTGGGTCAGCCTTCACGACGCCGGAATGTGGCCAGGACTCGGGGGCTCTTCACAGCCGGCAGGTGGGCGGGGCCCCACAGGACTCGCAAGCTCACTGGCCTCTTCTGGACAGGCCTTGAGAAGGGCGCTCCTAGCCACGAGGTAAAGGCCCCGACCTCACCTCGCGAGTCCCGAGCTTAGGAGGTGACAGCGAGGGGAATGGGGGGGGCAACGAGATTATGTTCCTAGGGGCTGAGGTGAGCAGGACACACCCAGCAGGCGCACCCCCGCTGCAGCTCTGACTCTCCCTGGGAGTGCGGGCAGGGCAGGGGGACCACCAGTCTGCTCCTGGGCCGCTGGCCTCACCTGGCAGGCATGTGTGCTGCAGGGCAACATGCGTGTGTACACACATAGCCATAGGTGTGCATGCCTACACACAGACACACACAGCTGTGCACACACATACATATGCACGTATGCACGAATACACGTGTGCACGGTGCGTAGACGCACGCACGTGCACACACACACGTGCGAGTACATTCACGTGCCGACCCACGTATGCACCTGCTCACACATACGCGTACAAGCACACACACACATGTATGTGCATACACACTCACATGTGCGTATACCCGCACCGGGAGGGTCCCGACTGTCTCCTTTTGTGCACACATGCTTACATACACTGACACACGCACACATAACCTTGCACATGTATATACACTCACCCATACACACATACCTATGTATGTGGCACCTATGTGCCTACCTATGTAGGCACACACCCACACACTGTGTACACACTTTTATACTCGTACACTTGCAATGTACACACACGCTCACACACGTGCACACTCACACAGCATCCACGCATATGCAAACACTCTCGTGCACGTACGTATATACACTCACACGTGCACACACACACGCTCACACACGCACGCACGTGCAGCCCACCCTCTCCTCTGACACCACCCCCCGTGCTGTGGGCGGGGCCGCTCAAGACTTCACGTCCCCGTTCACCGAGACCGTGGACTGCGCACCAACCAGCCCCTGCTGGTCCCCTGCCCTCTGGAAGCGGTTCCTGATGAGCTTGTAGATGGCAAAGCCAGGGATGGCTAGGCAGGGCACCCCGGCCACGATGACCACCACGCCGTACACCCAGTTCGGGTACTTCACTTTCTGGGATTTGGGAAATTCCTCCTGGAGAGAGAGAGCGACCTTGGGGTGAGCAGACGAGGCAGCCGGGGCCTCCCTCGGGGCGAAGTGCCCTCTTCCCCGTGTGACTCCCTCCTGGCCTCCAGGCTGAAGGGAGGGGGAGCCGGCCCCCAGCCCCACCCCGGAGGCCCAGGGCTCACGTAGGCCGGGTTCCAGACGCTGTACACGAGCTCCTCGTTGACACTGATCACGAGGAAGAACAGGAAGATGGTCAGCATGAGCAGGGGGCTCACCACCCTCCACGTGACCTGCCAGAAGATGTTGGGCTTGTGGCCGATCATGAACTCGATGTCCCTGTTGAACCTGGAAGCAGAGACCGAGGGGGCTGTCACCAGTGCACACTGAGACACCTTTAATCCCAAGACGGCAGAGGGCGGGCAGCCTCTCCACCCCCAGACAGACGGTCCCAGTCCTGCCATGCCGCACGCTGACCCGTCACATCCTTCTGGGCAAAGATGCGCCTCCCCGAGGAAGACCACCGTGGGCACAGCAGAAGCCGACCTGTAGCCTCTGAGAACCCCCGCCGCCCCATGGTGCCACTGCCCAGCTGGACTGTGGACTCGTGTCAGAGGTGGCCCCGGGCAGGCACTGATGCAAAGGAGGCGCCGGAACTTCTGGGGATGGAGGAGGGAAGTCGTCGAAGCCTCTGCCTCAGCCTCCTTGGCACGGCAGCAGCCCTGACCTCGGAGAACCTCACCATCTCCCCCTGTCCTGTGCCCAATACCCTTCTGCACAGATGCGTTTGTCGTCTGCAGAAATCAGAACAAAGTGGGCAGAGCGTAAACGTGAGCCGTCCAGGGCCCGGCGAACACAGAGGATGCTGCTGGAGAAGCGCAGGCGCCCAGGCCTTGTCCCCGTGGGGCTCAGGAGCCCCGTGACCGGACGCTTCCGCTCGGCCCGTCCTTCCCGAGGCAAGCGATACAGGGTAGCTGCCCGGGGCCAGTGTCTGACTTCAACAGCCTTCCGGCTGTTCACAGAGGGATGTGCTCTCTCAGACAGTTTCACACCTGCTGCAAGGCCAGCATCACACATGCGGTGACATCCGTACCTTTCCATCCGCACATCCCTCCCTGACGTCTGCTGATGCTACACACAGCAGGTCTCCCAAGTGCGCCTCAGTCTCCCCACGGCGCCACCAGGCTGGTTCAAGTTGTGTTGCGAGTGAACCCCCTGCACGTGTGTCCTTACACACGCGCGTGCTCTTGGTGGTGCAGGGAAGGGGGCCCAAGGTGGCTCCCTCTATGGGTTTCCAGCAGATTATTTCTGGAGCTGTGGTGAGTCCAGCTACTACTAAGAGCCCAGGGACCGTCTTCTGGGTCCCCACCGATCCCCGATGCCCTGAACGGCGGGCCAAGGGATGGCTGACCAGGCCACACTTGTCTGCCTTTCTTTGCCTGAGAAGCCCTCCCCAGACCCCAGGGAGCAGCCCTGGCTGGGCAGCCCAAGCTGGAATAAAGCACCCAGCTCCCTCCCCACAGGTGGGGTGCTGGGGAAGCCCCTCCACCCGCAGCAAGCGGCCTGCCTGTGCACCCGCCCTGGCTTCTCTCACACACCCCGAGACTGTGCTATCTCCTTCCGCTGCTGCCAGCGCTTATCCTGGGGCCTGGGAGCATCTGGAAGCTGGACGGGGTACGGTTTGCGTGCATGCGGGACCCCTCTTCTCTCCCTGTCACCCTCCCAGGGCCAGGCCCCTGCCTACACCATGCCGGGCCGGAAGGGAGATGCAGGCTTGGTCCTGTGTCTTCGCGGGCCTGCCGCCCCTTGTCCTGCCCCGAACGCATCCCCTTGTCCCGTGATGGGAATGTCCCCTGGCCATTAGAGATGGTCCTTCGCCTTCCCTCTTACCTGTCTATGCCGTACACGTAGACGACGGAGAACATCTCGAAGAAGGCAACGGTGAGCAGGGGGATGGAGCCCGCGTACCTGTCCAGCAGGGACAGCCAGTACTGGCCGGAGTTCAGCGTGAAAATTAAGGCGAGGAGGTACGTCCCCAAGCAGATGAGGCCTGTGGGGCGCAGCAGGGCCATTGTCGCCGGGCAGAGCGGGCCGCCGGGGACCCAGGTCCCACATCTGCACCACGGCCGAGACCCCCGGAGCCGGTCCTCCCAGCCCTGCCCTCACGGCCCCGGCCCCGGTCCGGCCTACCTGTAAGCAGCTCCTTGGGCCAGTTTTTGGGGATGACGTTGAGGTCCTGCAGGGGCACCACCACACCCTCCATGTTCCCGAACATGGACGACAGGCCCAGACAGAATAGCATGGTAAAGAAGAGCACGGACCAGAGCGGGGCCGCCGGCATCCTGGTGATGGCCTCGGTGAACACGATGAACGCCAGCCCGGTGCCCTCCACGCCCTGCAGGGTGCGGCAGGCGCGTCACCCAGGGGCCAGGCTGGCCCTGTCGTCAGACGGCCCTCCGCCTGCCAAGCCAGCACCACGCAAATATGGCTGATGGGAGCCATTCTGGGAAACGACCAGATCTTGTCTTTTAGCCCTAAGCGTATTTTAAAAAGCTGAACTAGTTTCGCGACCGGGAAGTGGATCACATTGTCCAGCAGTGGTCGGGGCCCCGTGCGGCCGGACAGACACTCGGCAGATGCACACGGACGGCCATCTGCTCACTGATGGGCACCACCACCCCCTACGTCTGGGGCCAGAGCACTAAACGACTTCAATGGGCCCGAGCGCGAGTCCCCAAAGCAGACACCCTGGACGTGCGCCCGCCAGCGGTCAGAGCAGCCGACGGGGCAGGCAGCACCAAGGACGGGCCCGCGGGCACGTAATGACCACGCTCTGCCCGGGGCGGGTGGTCCTGTGCGGCCACACGCGGCCCACACAGGTCAGTGAGGCCTCAGGCAGGAGCTGACCCTCTTGGGGGCCAGGGTTCCCGGGGGTAGAACCTCCTCAGAGAAACCTGAGCTCGGAGGGACTGAGCGGGGAGCTGGCAGCCCCCGCAGGACTCACGCAGGGCCGGGATCCCATCAGAAGCCGGGGCCCAAGGCAGCGCAGCAGCATTTACACCAGGGCCCAGGACACAAGGACTCAGCTCCACGCAGAAGAGTGGGAGGCTGAGGGGCGTCGTCACCAGCGGCCTGGTGCCCACGCCGCGGAGGAGCGTGTCCGGGGGTCTAAGAGCCCAGACCCCGTGGAAAAGACAAAAGCACGTCTGCGCTGCCCGGGGCGTGGGGAGGGGGGCAGGAGCTCTGCTGACGGAGGACGTCCAGGGTGCGGGACTGCGTGAACTTACAGCGTAAACTTACTAAAACCCTGCAAACTGCGCGGGACACGGGAGAGCTTCCAGGTGAGAACTGACACCTCGATAAGGTTGCTTTTTAAAAAGAAAGGAAATTCAGTCTCTTGGCGGGGGAGGGGGGTCACTGTGACTCCGTCCCTCTCACCCGGGGCTCCCAGGGTAGAGCCAGGCAGGGAGGGCCCTCTGCTCTGTGTCCACTCCTGGCGAGATTGTGCTGTCGCCGGAGAAACAGTGCCAGGCCCTCACAATGCTCCACATGCCCTGAAATGTCGGGTGGCTCCAAATAAGAAAATTGCAAAAACAAAATTAGTAAATGTTGGCCCATGAGCATCACAGAACGAAACATCACTAATCTTGGAGTTGGTGTTCAAAGCGTTTGTGCGTCAGGCGAGGGTTTCCCAGCACCGTGACAGCCACCAGCTGTCGAGTGATTTCAAAAGTATAGTTATGGGCTTCCCTGGTGGCGCAGTAGTTGGGGGTCCGCCTGCCGATGCAGGGGACGCGGGTTCGTGCCCCGGTCCGGGAAGATCCCACATGCCGTGGAGCGGCTGGGCCCGTGAGCCATGGCCGCTGAGCCTGCGCGTCTGGGGCCTGTGCTCCGCAACGGGAGAGGCCGCAGCAGTGAGAGGCCC